AGTTTGCAGTGAGCCAAGATCACGCCACTGCACTCCAGCCTGGGCAACAGAAAAAGACTCCATCTCAAAACAAAAAAAATAGCATTACAGGAGAGATAGTGGGGATAGTGCTACCACTCAAGACGCAGGGATGGTAATCTCTGTCTTATTTCTATTTGATTCACAGGCTGGTTCCTTCAGCAGCTGTTGAAGTATGTCTGAAGACTATTGTAAACTCAATCAAATGGTAACCTCAATCATAGCTGCTGTTCTGGATGTGGTATTGCTGCCAGAACAGATTAGTACATGGTATATATATGTACATGGTCTATGACCATCGATTTAGCAAATGCATTGTTTTTTGTTTTTATTTTTATTTCGTGAGATGAGGTCACACTCTGTCACCAAGGCTGGAGTGCAGTGATGTGATCACAGTTCACTGCAGCCTCTACCTCCCACGGTCAAGCAATCCTCTCACCTCAGCCTCCCAAGTAGCTAGGATCACAGGTGCATGCCACCATGGCAGACTAATATTTGTATTTTTTGTAAAGATGGGGTCTCACCATGTTACCCAAGCTGGTTTCAAACTCCTGGGTTCAAGCGATCTGCTTACCTTGGCCTCCCAAAGTGCTAGTTACCGGCACGAGCCACCGCACCCAGCTACAAATGCATTCTTTTCTATTCCAATGATAAAAGAAGATCAGAAGCAATTTACATTCACATAGTATGGACAAACTCTTCTTTCACGTATAGTTTTGCCTCATGATTATTAAGTTTTTTATATATTAGTTTGCTGTCTTACAGGCTTTGATGCCTCATGATTTTATTAACTATTTCACCTCTGTCATATGACATTGCAAAAATATCTGGACCACCTGAACATCCCTAGAAGATCACACTGATTTGTTATGTTGATAGCATCATGCTGATTAAATAAGATGATCAACAAGTGGCTACAGTGCTGGAGGCCTTGGTAAGACACATGAGCTGTTACTTCAGTGAAGCTTCCAGGAATCCAGTGGTCAGGGGCCTGTCAGGATAATCCTTCAAAAGTGAAGGACAAATTGCTGCATCCTGAATACGTTTTTACAAAGAAGAAAACATAGCAACTGGTAGGCCCCACTGGGTTCTAGAGGCAGCATATTTTACACCAGTGATTCTCAATGTGCACAGGCAGGGGAGCAATTCGGGTCCCCAGGGAACATCTGGCAATATTTGGAGACATTTTTTATTGTCATAACTGAGTATGTCACTGATATCTAGTGAGTAGAGGCCAGAAACACTGCTAAACATTCTATCCTACACAGGAAATCCCCCTCTACCCCCACAACAAAGAATTATCCAACCTAATATGTCAATAATGCCAAAGTTGAGAAACCCTGGGTAATGTTTTGATGTATATTGGTTTTCATTCACATTTGCTGGCTCCTAACTCCCATAACCCTTGTTACAATCTTTTGTTAGAAGATTGAGGATGTTAAGCCTCAGGGTCAGGTCTCCGACCTTCTCCTGCCCTCCTTTCTCTCTAATGTTCCCCCACCTTTCTAATTCAGGGTCCCACTCTATACCCTGGGTAAAGAAGGCTGATGTCATAATGCTTGTGTAAAAACCCAGAAGACCAGGTTCAGGGAGCTTCCCAATAGATGAACACATGGAGGTTCCTGGAGGGTGGCACACCCAGGGAGAGCATGGTAACTCCACATCCCTTCCCCCATACCTCGCCCTATGCATCTCTTCATCTGCATCTTTTGTGATATCCTTTATAATAAACCAGTAAACGTAAGTAAGGATTTCCCTGAGTTCTGTGAGCTGCTCCAGGAGAATAATCAGACCCAAAGAGGTGGTTGTGGGAACCCCAACTTGAAGCTGGTTGGTCAGAAGTTTCAGAGACCCTGACTTGTGACTGGTGTGTGTTGGGAGCAGTCTTGGAGATGGAGCCCTCAATCTGTGGGATCTGATACTATCTCCAGGTAGACAGTGTTGGAACTGAAGCTGAGGATACCCAGCTGGTGTCTGCTCCGTGGTGTGTGGGGAAACCCCCCTCCCTCCTACCACATTTGGTCTCATAAGTCTTCTCCTGTGTTGAGGGTTGTTGTGATGTGACAGTAGAGGAGAAACATGGTTTGGGGAGAGTTTTTCCTCATACCCTCTGTCCGATACTTAGGAGTACCCCTTAGGTCATATGTGTGGTGACACTAAAGCCTGCAGGATTTGAGTGGGCCCAGAGCGCGAAAGAACTCTGTAGTAGGTCCAGATGTGTTGACATAGCCCTGCCACTTTGGCCAAAGGATCCAGTAGACATTAGGGTGTTAGTGGTATCAGTGGTGGGGGAAAGTTGCAGAGTGATCTTAGGGTAGGCCCCAGTGGGAGAATCCTAGAGCAGGCTCCCAGGGTTCTGACAGTGAGTCCCTGTCAGGGGATTGCCTGTAGAGGAGTCCTGTGCCTGACGGAAATGGCTTGGCTTTGTATCTGCTTTGTGCTCAGTCATTGGCTGGAAGCAGCCTGGCAGAATCAAGGCCCTGGGGAAAGCACCAGCTGGAGGCTACAGTTCAGTTGTGCTCTCCACAATACGGTCTCCTGAAGACAGATCTGAACAGTGCAACTCCCAGCCTCTGTATCAAACTGTATCAATCTGGATCCAGTGACAACACAGAAACCACACAGCAATTTAGTGTGGTTTAATATAAAGAATTACTAAGCTATGAGACGAGAGTAATTATAAAGATGGAAAGAGAAGTCTGAAGGGTACCTTAGAGGTGAAGGAGAGTACTCAAGAAAGGGTTAATTTCGGAGGGGGGTTCAAACACTGATGAATGAGGTGGGATTGCAGCCTGCTAGGTGGCAGAGAAGTTTGACTCCATTTGAATGTTTGACTTCTCCTTGTATCTGATGACCAACCTCATTTCATCTGCATCCCAGTAGGTTGTTTCTGCCTGTCCAGACATGGGGGCGTGGCCCTGGCCCAGGTTCTGGTGTGCTGCTGGGTAGCTTCTTCGTGTTCCTTCTACACGAAGGAACTGTGTAGTGCTCTGCCCAGGCTCTGCATTCCTAGAGCATGCAGTTCTTTGACTACCCTGAGCTCTGGCCCCAGTCAGTAACCTTTTTAACATGGACAACATGGTCTTTGTGAGCAGGCTCGTGACAGCTTCCTCCCCCTAGGCCTTGCACTGCTCTGTGGGGAAGAGGGCTTCCCGCCTCCTCACACCATCTATGCACCCATCTATCAGATTGGGCCCCTGGTACTCCAGAAAGGTGCTTCCTGCTTGCTGGGTGACTGTGGACCAGCTCTGGCCATGGCAACCACACCTTCTCCAAAAACACCTGAATCCTCAGCCTTGTGGAGCCACCCATTTTAAGTTGTTCCTACTTTGGCTATTATCTCGCCCTAAGAGAGTCTTTAGATTTCTCTTTTCACTTTTATACTACTGTTACAGTTAATAATTCTTTCTCTTTGAGATGGGGTCTTGCTATATTGCCCAAGCTGGTCTCAAACTCCCGTGCTCAAGTGATCCTCCTGCCTTAGCCTTCCAAGAGCCTGGAACTACAGGTGTGTGCCACTGAGCCTGGCTAATTTTTTTTTCTTTTTTGAGACAGAGTCTCACTCTGTCACTAGGCGTCAGGCTAGAGTGCAGGGGTGTGACCTTGGCTCACTGCAACCTCCACCTCCTGGGTTCAAGTGATTCCCCTGCCTCAGCCTCCCAAGAAGCTGGGACTACAGGTACGTGCCACCACACTCAGCTAATTTTTGTAATTTTAGTAGAGATGGGGTTTCACCATGTTGGCCAGGCTGGTCTCGAACTCCTGACCTCAGGTGATCTACCTGCCTCGGCCTCCCAAAATGCTGGGACTTGACTAATTTCATAGATCACGTTGGGGAATGTTTAGGAGGAAACAACTTTCTAGCTAGGCTAGTGTAGGAGGAAAATTCTTGGTGATCATATTGGGAAACACTCTCCCACATCAAAACCATTTGATCTAGCTAAGATGGAGAGGCCTGAGAAGTGTTTTGCTTTTGCTCATTTCCCTCTTGCCAATAAAGACACCTGCCCTAGGGCCAGCCACCTTCTCTGCAGGGACCCTAGAGCTGTCCAGAGCTACGGAGGTGCATTCCAGCAGCAATTTCTGCTGAGACTCAAAACACTTGGCATCTGCGTTGGTAATTCCAATTTGTTGTCAAATTATTCAATCTAGGCTGGGCACGGCGGCTCACAACTGTAATCCCAACACTTTGGGAGGCTGAGATGGGAGAATCGTTTGAGCCTTGGAGGTGGAGACCAGCCTGGGCAACATGGCGGTCTCTACAGAAAATGCAAAAATAACTGGGTGTGGTGGTGCGTCTGCAGTTGACTACTCGGGAGACTGAGGTGGGAGGATCGTTGAGTCCAGGAGGTGGAGGCTGCAGTGAGCCGTGACTGCACCACTGCACTACAGTCTGGGCGACAGAGCGAGACTGTCTGGAAAAAAAAAAAGAGACGCAATCTTCGAAAATTAAAAGCAAAAAATAAAACGTAAGGTTGGGCCCAAGGCAGAGGGGGTGGGCGGAGGCACGCAGAAACGCTTTTTCATTTCTTCTGGAGAATGTGCATTGGTTTCTCCTCGTAAGTTTGCACTTCACACTGCCACGATCTCCGAAATCCTGTGCCTTCTGTTGTTGCATCTGCTAAGTTCTGATGGAGACCAGCTGGGACCCAAAGGACGTGGAAAGGGAATAAACTGAGAGATACGGAGATTGAGGGAGTTTCTTAGGGGAGTTTTCTCGGAGACGAGGTTCCTTCGGCATCTTAACGCTACTCCAGTCCCATTCATGCGTAAAGGCTGCTTCCCCAACAGGCGCGAGGCTTCTTCTTGCAAACGTCCTGAACGCTCAGCCAAACTCCCACCGACGTTTGTTTGACGGGAACGCCGGGCTAGTCCCAAAGTCACCGAGATTTGCGAGTGACTGGGCCTTGCACATGCGCACGGAGCACCCTGGGCCGCCGGGCCTTCCTGCGCACGCGCAGGGACCCTGCCGTCTGGAGCGCGCACGCGCACTTGTGTCTAGCGGCACCGCTAGCTTAGTAACCCCGCCGGGGAGATTGGAAACCGCGGAGTTTCCGTGTGGAATCTGCGGCTAGCAGGGACTTGCTATGTTGGGCGCCGGAGGGCGTTAAGAGCCGAGAGAGAGACGAGGTGTCTCTGAAGACCGGTCGCCTGGACCATGAAGAGGATTTTTAGTAAGAAGGGCGAGTCCCCCTTGGGTTCCTTCGCGCGGCGGCGGAGGAGCAACTCGGGCGGCGGGGGCGAGCCCGGGGACGGCGCCTACTCGCAGCCCGGGTACCACGTCCGAGACCGAGATCTCGGCAAGATACACAAAGCTGCCAGCGCGGGTAATGTGGCGAAAGTGCAGCAGATTCTTCTGCTCAGGAAGAATGGCTTGAATGATAGAGACAAGATGAACAGGTAATAGGAACCACAAGCCCGGCGTGGGTTCCGCGGGAGCAGCCGGGCAGGAAGAGGAGCGCAGCCTGTGGGACCCTCCCCGCCCCGGCACCTGGGGCCTGGGTCAGATTCACGCGCGCTCCGCAGCCCCTGGGACGGGGACACCTTGCAGGGCTCCAGCGCTCAGGCCGCCTTTCTGAGCAGCAAAACAAAAACAACTCCATCTGGTTTCCGATCTCCCCTAATTCCCCTTAGAGAGGACTTCATTGACAATTTTAAAGTGAATTAGTGAACAAAAGTACATACAGCGTTTTATTTTTAAAGTACACATTTAAGACAGGGTCATATACTTTATTGAAAGGTGCATAATGAGATAAGTAGTTCCCGTAATATAGCAACTTCTGGGTTCAAAATTATTTCTATAAAATCTATTATCCTTCAGGCGCGGTGGCTCCCACCTGTAATCACAGCACTTTGGGAGGCTAAGGTGGGAGGATCGCTTGAGGCCAGGAGTTCGAGGACAGCCTGGACGTTATAGCGAGACTCCCCCATCTCTAATAGCCCCCGCTGCTTAGAAGGCTGAGGCAGGAGCATCATTTGAGCCCACGAGTTCTACGCTGCAGTGAGCTATGTTAGTGACAACATAGCAAGACCTTATTTTTCAAAAAGAAAAATAAAATGCCTTTAGGGAGTAGTTATACATGTAATTTATTTTTTTCAGCATTGCTTAAGCAATGTATTAAGAAGAACCCATAGAATGGATTTTATAAATAAATGTCAGTGCATACATGACCATTGACAGTGGCAATAGTGGCCTTGCATGGTGTCTCACGCCTGTAATCCCAGCACTTTGGGAGGCCAAGGTGGGCAGATATCCTGAGGTCAGAAGTTCGAGATTAGCTTGGCCAACATGGTGAAACCCCATCTCTACTAAAAATATAAAAATTAGTCAGACATGGTGGCAGGAACCTGTAATCCCAGCTACTCGGGAGGCTGAGGCAGGAGAATCGCTTGAACCTGAGAGGCAGAGGTTGCAGTGAGCCAGGACTCAGCAACTCAGAGACAGAGTGAAACTCTGTCTCAAAAAAAAAAAAAAAGTGGCAATAGATATAGGAAGTATGTTGGTATATGAGGATATACTTTGGTATCTCAAGTGAGAAAAAAATCAGTTTGATTACACATGCAAACAGACTGTGGTCTTGTGTTAGTTGAAAATATGTATGAAACGTAAAATTTGTTATTTCTGGGCATTTGTATAGTAATTCAAACTTTCCCCTTTTTCTTTTCTATGATTTCTGCAATGAGTGTATAGAAAAGTTCCAGTGAAAGTTTATTATTAATGAGTTAAATCCTTGGGAAGAGCAGGAATATGAATCTCACACAGATAAAAATAATTTCTTCTTTCTCTCTCTCTCTCTTTCTTCCTTTCTTAACTTTCGTGGATTGCTATCCAAATAAACAACTTTTATCCTTTTCAGAAGTAAAGGGAATCTTGGCTGGGCATGGTGGCCCACGACTGTAATCCCAGCATTTTGGGAGGCCAAGGCAGGAGAACTGCTTGAGCCCAGGAGTTTGAAACTACACTGGGCAACATAGCAAGACCCTGTCTCTATTAAAAAATAAAAATTAAAATTAAAGGTAAAGCAGATTTTTTTTTGTTCACACACCAAAAAGTAAGAAGATAAAAAACAAAATAAAAAGAAAGTAGAGGGGGCCGGGCTCGGTGGCTCAAGCCTGTAATCCCAGCACTTTGGGAGGCCGAGGTGGGTGGATCACGAGGTCAAGAGATCGAGACCATCCTGGTCAACATGGTGAAACCCCGTCTCTACTAAAATTACAAAAAATTAGCTGGGCATGGTGGCGTGTGCCTGTAATCCCAGCTACTCAGGAGGCTGAGGCAGGAGAATTGCCTGAACCCAGGAGGCGGAGGTTGCTGTGAGCCGAGATCGCGCCATTGCACTCCAGCCTGGGTAACAAGAGCGAAACTCCATCTCAAAAAAAAAAAAAAAAAAAAAAAAAAAAAGAAAGTAGAGGGAATCTTTTTACCTGTATTTATAGATTTTATGTATACATTTTATTATATACGTTTTTATTATAGATTTATTATATTCAAACAAGTACAATTATTTTAGTTGTGTCCTTATGACAATAAAAATACCAAATATAAATGATAATTAGGCTGGATGTGGTGGCTCATGCCTGTAATGTCAGCACTTTGTGGGGGCTGAGGAAGGTGGATCACTTGAGTCCAGGAGTTCGAGACCAGCCTGGCCAACATCTTGAAACCCTGTCTGTACTAAAAATACAAAAACTAGCCAGGCATGGTGGTGCACACCTGTAGTCCCAGCTACTTGGGAGACTGAGGCAGTAGAATAGTGTGAACCTGGGAGGGGGAGGCTACAGTGAGTTGAGATTGCACCACTGCAATCTACCCTGGGCGACAGAGCGAGACTCTCAAAAAAAAAAAAAATTGCAAAAGAATAAAACAATTGCTCTGCTTTATTTATTTATTTATTTTTAATATTTTTTTCTTCTTTATAAAGACGGGGTTTCACCATGTTGGTCAGGCTGATCTTGAACTCCTGACCTCAGGTGATCCGTCCGCCTTGGCCTCCAAAGCGCTTGAATTACAGGCGTGAGCCATCACTCCCGGCCAAGAATTGCTCTACTTTATAAAAGTTTTATTTAACAATATTGAACTCCCTAACGATTTTTCCATTCTTTCAATCCATTTATTCATCAAACATAACCTGAATATCTGTTCTGTAGCAGACATAGTCTGTCGCTTTTTTTGGTAATGGAGTCTCCCTTCTTTGCCCAGGCTGGAGTGCAATGGTGTGATCTTGGCCCACTGCAACCTCCACCTCCTGGGTTTAAGCAATTCTCCTGCCTCAGCTCCCCAGTACTGGGATTATAGGCACGTGCCACCATGCCCAGCTAATTTTTGTGTTTGTAGTAGAGATGGGGTTCTACCATGTTGGCCAGGCTGGTCTCAAACTCCAGACCTCAAGTGATCCGACCGCCTTGGCCTCCCAAAGTGCTGGGATTACAGGCCTGAGCCACCGCGCTCAGCAACATAGTCTACTATCTCTCAAGACCTTTCCATCCTCAAAAACTTCGTGTTTACATACCTGTCCAACCTGAGCAAGTTGAGAGATTTAAAATTAGACTGTTAGAACAATCTCAATCGAAACTTTTCCTCCCTCCTCTTATTTATTTTTTTGAGATGGAGTCTTGCTCTGCCACCCAGGCTGGAGTGCAGTGGTGTGATCTTGGCTCACTGCAACTCTGCCTCCCAGGTTCAGAGATTCTCCTCCCTCAGCCCCTGAGTAGCTGGGATTACAAGCCTGAGCCACCATGCCTGGCTACTTTTTGTATTTTTAGTAGAGATGGGGTTTCACCATATTGGCCAGGCTGGTCTTGAACTGCTGACCTCAACTGATCTGCCAGCCCTGGCCTCCCAAAGTGCTGGGATTACAGGTACGAGCCACCACGCCAAGCCCCTCCTTTTAAACAAGTGTTCCTGAAGGTAGAATATTGTAAGAGATAACCTTCAACTCCTTTTTGGAAAATTTATGTCTTAAATACTGATATTAGTCATTGGAAATAGCTGCATATATTCTATAAATATAAATATTGAATAAAATGAGCCAACCTCTTCATTTGAATCCTGAGTTTCCTTTGGCTTAAAGTTTTTGAAAACACATTAAGAATTACTTTGTTTAAAAATTTATTTTTGAATTTAAAAAATGCTCCCAATTATAGTTGTAATAAATCATGAATCACAAGTGGCATTCCAACGTCAGGGACGTTAAAATGTGAGAAAATGAGCATCTTAGAAAAACTGAAATACAGTGTTATCTCTGATTTTTTTTTTTTTTTTTTTTTGATAGACAGGATCTCTCTCTGTTGCCCAGGCTAGCATACAGTGGCACGATCACAGCTCACTGCAGCCTCATCCTCCTGTGCTCAAGCAATTCTTTGGCCTTAGCCTCCCTGGTAGCTGGGACCACAGGAGTGCACCACCATGCCTGGCTGATTTTTAAATTTTTTGTAGAGATGGAGTCTTAATATGTTGCCCCGGCTGGTCTCAAACTCTTGGACTCAAGCAGTCATTCCACCTCAGCCTCCCAAAGTGCTGGGATTCAGGCATGAGCCACCATGCCTGGCTTATCTCTGATCTTTAAAACATACTGCCAGCTAGGTATAATTTTATCATTTTATTTAATTAAAACATCTTTGTTAAATAGTAGTAATAGTAATTATATCTAACAATTGTTGAGCTGTTATTTGTGCTAGGAGCTGTTCTAAACATTTTGCATAAATTCTCATTTAAGCATCTGAGTGGTGTCTAATGACATAGCTACTGTTTTGATCCTCATTTTACTGATGAGGAAACTGAGGCACTTACTAAGCCATAAATGACAGAGCCTAAAGTAGGATTCAACTCCCAAGTTGAAGTGAATCCAAAGGCCAAGACTTTTTTTTTTTTTTTTTTTTTGAGGCGGGGTTTCCCTCTTTTTACCCAGGCTGGAGTGCAATGGCACGATCTCGGCTCACCGCAACCTCCGCCTCCTGGGTTCAGGCAATTCTCCTGCCTCAGCCTCCTGAGTAGCTGGGATTACAGGCACACGCCACCATGCCCAGCTGATTTTTTTTGTATTTTTAGTAGAGACGGGGTTTCACCATGTTGACCAGGATGGTCTCGATCTCTAGGCCAAGACTTTTCTATTCTAATAGGTTGCTCTTTCATTAATATGGTGAGTAGTTAGAGCTAATAAATATAGTACTTCTTTTAGAAGAAAATTAAATACTTGTTTTGAAGGCAGAGGAATAACGTGTATTAGTTCTCATGCTGCTAATAAAGACATACCTGTTAATATATGGGTAATTTATACGGAAAGAGGTTTAATTAACTCACAGTTCAGCATGGCTGGGGAGGCCTGAGGAAACTTACAATCATGGCAGAAGGAGAAGAAAACATGTCCTTAACATGGTGGCAGCAAGGAGAAGTGCCAACCAAGAGGGGCCCCTTTATAAAACCATCAGATCTCGTGAGAAACTTACTCACTATCACAAGAGCAGCAGCGTGGGGGAACCACCACCATGATTCACTTACCTCCCACGGAGTCCCTCTCACCACACGTAGGGATCATGGGAACTATAATTCAAGATGAGATTTGGATGGGGACACAGCCAAACTGTATCAACATGCTATTTAATGTTTATAATTTTGTGAATCATTGTATGTTTTGAGACAGTGCACTACAGTTTATAAAAGTCCTGTCACTCTCATAGGACAGCTCTGCATTTGGCCTGTGCAAGTGGTCATCCAGAAGTAGTAACTCTCCTGGTGGACAGAAAATGCCAGCTCAATGTCTGTGACAATGAAAACAGGACAGCTCTGATGAAGGTATATAGTAGCCAGCTTTTTCAGCATGAGATGAATTTGATTTAAATATATAGAATGAAAATGAATTTATCTCATTAAAATATAACTAACTGGTGAAACCTGTGGAATGCTTATTTTGCATTCCTAGAATTTACGATCTATTTCTTGGTCTAATACTGGCAGGCTGTTCAATGCCAGGAAGAGGAATGTGCAACTATTCTGCTAGAACATGGGGCTGATCCAAATCTTGCCGATGTCCATGGCAACACTGCTCTCCACTATGCAGTCTATAACGAGGACATGTCAGTAGCAACAAAGCTGCTTTTGCATGATGCAAATATCGAAGCAAGAAACAAGGTATAAATCAACCAGCTTTATTTTTACAGTATTTGAAATGCATTTGTTTCAACAGTGACATATGTAAGGGTTAGTTTTTCATATTTGGAAGCTCAAGCATTCCCTGAAGAGAAGTATTTTAAAGTAACTTAATTGTCTAAGATTTTACTTTAAATGTTGATACTTTTAAAGAAACATTGGGCAGTACACCTTTCTTTTATGCATTTATTGTAAATATTTGTGAAAACACAATTTGTTAAAGGCAATTTTTTATTTTTTTATTTTTTCCGAGGCAGAGTCTCTCTCTGTTGCCCAGGCTGGAGTGCAGTGGTGCAGTCTTGGCTTACCACAACCTCCACCTCGTGAGTTCAAGTGATTCTCCTGCCTCAGCCTCCGGAGTAGCTGGGACTACAGGCATGTGCCACCACACCTGGCTAATTTTTTGTATTTTTAGTAGAGACGGGCTTCACTATGTTAGCCAGGATAGTCTCGATCTGCTGACCTCATGATCCACCTGCCTCAGCCTCCCAAAGTGCTGGAATTACAGGCATGAGCCACCGTGCCTGGCCTTATTTGTTTTCTATTTTATATGTTTCAGTTCATAGGATCTGACATAAGGTTTTCAGTTCAGCTGAGAAATAGGTAATTTTGTGCATTTTAAATTGTTTCGCTGTCTTACAGGATGACCTCACGCCACTTTTACTTGCAGTAAGTGGAAAAAAGCAGCCAATGGTGGAATTTTTAATAAAGAAAAAAGCAAATGCGAATGGAGTAGATAAATTGGAAAGGTACAGTCTTTTTTTTTTTTCTTTTTTTAAACCTGCATGTTGCATGTTAGAGGTTTTTTAAACCTGCGTGTTTTGTGTTAGAGTTTTTTAAACCTGCCTGTTGTTCTAGAGGGGCAACAGTGATTCTGTTGCTGTTTCTCAAGTTAGAAATATTAAATTAATAAGGTTAACACAATTATGGGAATATAGTGACAAATAGCAACACAAATCAGGTAGAAAAGCAGTTTGCTTGGATTGGGCAATATAAAAGAAGATTGTACAGTAGGATTCATCTTACAATATTGACTGATGTTTGTTATTTGTAAACTCATGTTTTTGGTCATGTGATCTGTTAGCTCCAGAGCTTTCTTATCAGTTTTATTAGTTTTATAAAATGTGGAGTTTAACTTTTGGTTTACTTTTTAACTCAATATTGAATTTCGTAACCCTTTTATGGTGGTGTTCTAATCTCTGCTTTTGTACTTTTCCTTTAGAAATGCTGTATTCAACATGAATAGGAGTTTGAAATCATTTTGTCTTTTGGGTGCTTCTTTGCCTTAAGTTCCTTTCTTTGAAGAATACCAATGTTAAGTTATCCCTAAGTGATTATTAATTGCTATTACCAGATACTATAGTTTCATTATTTTTTTCCTTTTCTATTTCTAGTATATTTTGATGTTTTTATTTTTAGTTGGTGTGGGCATAGGGAAGAAAAACAGCTTTAATTGAATAAGCTTTTCCTTTACTGAAGACAAGTCATAGATGGGTGATAAAAAGAAAAGAGGCTTTAAAAATCACACAAGACTGGATTTAATTCCTTGCTTTCCCACTTGCTAACTGTGTAAATTTGGGGACCTTACTTATCTCCATATATGTTCTCTGATATGAAAAGGAGGATACTAAATATATCCTTGAAGGCAGTTGTATTTAAGTAAGACTATATAGCATTTGATTCATTGCCTAGCCCACACTTATTGGCATTATTATTATTATTTTTGAGACAGAGTCTCTGTCGCCCAGGCTGGAGTGCAGTGGCGTGATCTTGGCTCACTGCAGCCTCTGCCTCTCAGGCTCAAGAAGTCCTCCTTTCTCAGTCTCTCGAGTAGCTGGGACTATAGGCACATGCCACCACATCCGGCTAATTTTCATATTTTTTGTATAGATGGGATTTTGCCATGTTACCCAGGCTGGCCTGAACTCCTGGGTTCTAGTGATCCGCCTACCTTGGCCTCCCAAAGTGCTGGGATTATAGGTATCAGCTGCTGCACCTGGCCACCATTATTATTGATACTGTTTTAAGCCTGCAGATAGCTCTTATCTGACCCCTAGCTGACTTTGAATTGTAATATGTTATATCAGACTAGAGAAGAAATCGAGAATTCTTTATTTAAATCTTTGTCTACTTTATTTTTATTTTTTGAAAAAGAAAGAGAGAAAGAAAAAGAATGAAAGAGAAAAAGAAAGAGAAAGAGGTAGAGAGAACGGGAGTCTTGCTTTATTGCCCAGGCTAGAATGCAGTCTAAAAATGGGATTAAAAACCTCTTTTATGCCAATAATTGTGCTTAACAATGGAGACAGGAAGAATTAACGGAGGAAAAAAACAAGCAGCCAACCAATATTTCATTTAAACCTGTGAAATGCTATGCAATTACTGAGGAGTGATTTACTTCCAATTATGTAGTCACTTTTAGAGTAGGTGTGATGTGGTACTGAGAAGAATATATGTTTTGTGGATTTGGGGTGGAGAGTTCTGTAAATGTTTATTAAGTTTACTTATTCCAGGTCTGAGTTCAAGTCCTGGATATCCTTGTTAATTTTCTGAGTCGTTGATCTGTCTAATATTGACAATGTGATGTTAAAGTCTCCCACTATTATTGTGTGGGAGTCTAAGCCTCTTTATAAGTCTTTAAGAACTTGCCTTATGTATCTGGGTGCTCCTGTATTGGGTGCATATATATTTAGGATCGTTAGCTCTTCTTGTTGCATTGATCCTTTTAACATTATGTAATGTCCTTCTTTGCCTCTTTTGATCTTTGTTGCTTTAAAGCCTGTTTTATCAGAGGAGAGAATTGCAACTCCTGCTTTTTATTTATTTATTTATTTTTGCTCTCCATTTGGTTGGTAAATCTTCCTCCATCCCTTTGTTTTGAATTTTGTGTATCCTTGCATGTGAGATGGGTCTGGATGCAGCATACCGATGGGTTTTGGCTTTTTATCCCATTTGCCTATCTGTGTCTTTTGATTGGGGCATTTAGTCGATTTAAATTAAGGATTAATATTAATATTAATATATGTGAGTTTAAGACTGCCATTTAATGCTAGCTGGCTGTTTTGCCCATTAGTTGATGTAGATTCTTCATTATGTTGATGCTCTTTAGCTTTTGGTATATTTTTGGAATGGCTGATACTGGTTGTCCCTTTCTATGTGTAGTGCTTCTGTCAGAAGCCTGGTGGTGATGAAATCTCTGAGCAATTGCTTGCTCATAAAGGATTTTATTTTTCCTTCACTTATGAAGCTTAGTTTGGCTGGATATGAAATTCTGGGTTGAAAGTTATTATTATTATTTTTTTTTGAGACGGAGTTTCACTCATGTTACCCAGGCTGGAGTGCAATGGCGTGGTCTCGGCTCACCGCAACCTCCGCCTCCTGGGTTCAGGCAATTCTCCTGCCTCAGCCTCCTGAGTCGCTGGGATTACAGGCACACGCCACCATGCCCAGCTAATTTTTTTTTGTATTTTTAGTGGAGACGGGGTTTCACCATGTTGACCAGGATGGTCTCGATCTTTTGAACTTGTGATCCACCCGCCTCGGCCTCCCAAAGTGCTGGGATTACAGGCTTGAGCCACTGCGCCTGGCTGGAAAGTTATTTTCTTTAAGGATGCTGAATATTGGCCCCCAGTCTCTTCTGGCTTATAGGGTTTCTGCTGAGAGATCTGCTGTGAGTCTGATAGGCTTCCCTTTATGAGTAACCTGACCTTTCTTTCTGGCTCTCCTTAGCATTTTCTCCTTCATTTCAACCCTGGTGAATCTGACGATTATGTGCCTTGGGATTGCTCTTCTTGAGGAATATCTTTGTGGTGTTCTCTGTATTACATGGAGTTGAATATTGTCCTGCCTTGCTAGGTTGGGAAAGTTTTCCTGAATAATATCCTGAAGAATATTTTCCAGCGTGGATTCATTCTCTTTGTCACATACAGGTACACCTATCAAACGTAGATTGGGTCTTTTCACATAGTCCCATATTTCTTGGAGACTTTGCTCATTCCTTTTTACCCTTTTTTCTCTAATCTTGTCTTCTCGTTTTATTTCATTGAGTTGGTCTTCGACCTCTGATATCCTTTCTTCTGCTTGGTCAATTTGACTGTTAACACTTGTGCATGCTTTGCGAAGTTCTCGTATTGTGTTTTTCAGCTCCATTAATTCACTTATGTTTCTCTCTAAATTGTCTATTCTCGTTAGCATTTCATCAAACCTTTTTTCAAGGTTCTTAGTTTCTTTGCATTGGGTTAGAACATGTTCTTTTAGCTCACAGAAGTTTCTTATTATCCACCTTCTGAAGCCTGATTCTGACAATTCATCACACTTATTCTCCATCAGGCCTTGTTCTCTGGCTGATGAGGAGCTGCCATCCATTGAAGGAGGAGAGGCATTCTGATTTCGGATGTTTTCAGCCTTTTTGCGCTGGTTTCGTTCCATCTTTGTGGATTTATCCACCTGTCGTCTTTGTAATTGCTGACTTTCAGATTGGGTCTCTGAGTGGGCGTACAGCTTGTTGGTGATGATGTTATTTCTGTTTGTTTTCCTTCGGTGGATGCCCCTCCCCCACAGAGCTGGACCTTCCCGGGTTCAGCTGTGTTTGCTGTGAAAATCTCAACAGTCAGCGTTTCCAATTGCTGCTTTTTTGTGGGAGTGGGACCAGCTGAGCCTGATCACCTGGCTCCCCGCCTCGCAGCCCCCTTTTTTTCTTTTCTTAATTGAATGGTCGATTCTCTCCCAGGTGCCCCAGTCGCCCACCGGAAAGGAGCCGGGATCTATGCAATTTTCCGTGTTGCAACTGCGCTGGCTGAAACAGCGGCGCTGAGATTCGTGGGGCTTTTCTGCCCGGTAATCTCCTGGTCTGGCTCCCCGCTTCAGTCCCCTTTTCAGTCAGCTGAATGGGCAACCCGGAGCTCCAAACACCAACCAAAAGGGCACCCAGTCCTGCATACTCTGTACTGATTGCTGCCCCGCCGGAACGCCATTTAGCCGCGCTGGCCAAAAGAGTTGTGCTGGTGACCCGTAGGGCTCCTCCGCTGGTAATCCCCTGGTCCATGGGCAACAATAATTCATCTGGAAGTCTGGCATCTGCTCACTCCCTGCGCCTTCACTGGGAGCTGCAATCCTGAGCTGCTGCTAAACGGCAATCTTGGATCCCTCTCCTGTCTAGATAAGTAAACTCAGCATAGGTTTTTGCCCATCAAAAGACTTCTATTGGCCGGGCGCGGTGGCTCACGCCTGTAATCCCAGCACTTTGGGAGGCCGAGGCGGGTGGATCACAAGGTCAAGAGATCAAGACCATCCTGGTCAACATGGTGAAACCCCCGTCTCTACTAAAACTACAAAAAATTAGCTGGGCATGGTGGCACGTGCCTGTAATCCTAGCTACTCAGGAGGCTGAGGCAGGAGAATTGCCTGAACCCAGGAGGTGGAGGTTGCGGTGAGCCGAGATCGCGCCATTGCACTCCAGTCTGGGTAACAAGAGCGAAACTCCGTCTCAAAAAAAAAAAAAGGCTTCTATTATATTATACCCCAGTGAGACAACAGGCCTCTTTTTTGTCCTTTCCTTTTAGCCTTGGTGATAATTTACAAAGATGAACACTTGAGCACCCAAGATGCCTATGTCTATTAGTAGATGTAAACAGTTAATTCTACACAGACAGGCAAGATGGTAAATTGATAAAGTATATAAAATTATCTATATATATAACTTTATCAAAGTTTCTAAGTGTGAAATTAACTCTTTTATTTTGTTTTTATTTATTTATTTTTTGAGACGGAGTCTTGCTCGGTTGCCCAGGCTGGAGTGCAGTGGCACGATTGACTCACTGCAACCTCTGCCTCCCGCATTGAAGCGATTTCCTGCTAATTTTTGTATTTTTAGTAGAGATGGGGTTTCACCGTGTTGGACAGGCTGGTCTTGAACTCCTGACCTCAAGTGACCTGCCTGCCTTGGCCTCCTAAAGTGCTAGGATTATAGGGATGAGCCACGATGCCTGGCCATATCTCTCTTATTTTAGAGCACCCCTCATGCCTGCTCTATTTTATGAATCATCAAGTATAGTCAGGCTTTTTATTCGGCAGAGTTTTGATATTTTTTCTTAATATGTCTAGGGATGGACTACAGAAAAATGGTGTTGTTAGTGGTTTAGTATGTAAATATTTACCATAAAAGGCTAGTTAACACTAAATAGAGGTTTAAAATAATTATAATGATTGCATCTTATACATCAGTTGAGATTTCATAGTTTGGTTCAGGTAATTTTGGAATGGCAGTGAATTAGTCTGCTTCATTAGCTAGAAATCAAGCAAAAGGATAGACTAGTTAGAAGCAGCAATGACTGTAGGATTCTTTTGTTTTGTTTTGTTTCTGAGACGCAGTCTCACTCCGTCACCCAGCCTGGAGTGTGTGGCATGATCAGAGCCTACCACAGCCTCAACCCCTGGACTAAGGAGATTCTTCCACCTCAGCCTCCCAAGTAGCTGAGACTACAGGCACATACCACCATGCCTGGCTAATTTTATGTATTTTTTGTAGAGATGGGGTTTTGCCATGTTGCTTAGGTTGGTCTTGAACTCCTAGGCTCAAGCAATTGGCCTGCCTCTGCTTTCCAAAGTGCTGGAATTACAGGCATGAGCCACTGTGTCCAACTGGGTATATGTAGGATTTTTTCTCTCTGGATTTTTACGAACTTACTCCATAGGGACCCCAATATTGTTAATTTCATTCCAATTATAACCCCTATGCATGGGATAAAAATAGTATCACATGTTTAATTTTTCTAATTGGTTATTTGAGTCTTGAAATGTCCAGTTTAGCAGAAAATCTTGAACTGTCCCATGGGGGCCATCTGCTATGCCCTCCACCTTAAATTTTTCAAGAACCGAAGGGGTTCCTTTAAGTGCAAGGAAGGCAGTCCTCTTTTGTAAGTCAGAAGGAGGGGAAAAAAGGACATTCTAATCATTTTTTTGTTACCAGTGATTCTATGGCTGCATTGTTGCCATTGAAACTGGTCCTGCAGTCTGGAAATGACTGACCTTTGCTACCAGGATGCTCTTACTGATTGAGATCGCTCAGTCTTCGTGGTGATTCATATGTAGACTTCGAAGTTAGGACTTTTTTTTAAAGTTCACATATGTGTGTTTATAGGCTCAGCCATTGTTCCCAAAGCACTAGCACCCTGCTCTGGCAGCTGGCCTCCTAGCTTTAGCCACACACGGATTGATCCTTCCCTCCACACTCAAACGCTTAATGTGGAGACCATATCTGAGCCTTGACTTTCATGGTAAGTTAGCCATTGAGGCTTTTGTTTGTCTTTTCTTTAGCAAATATTAGTTGGGATTGTTCTGTCAGAGAGGTTCAAATCGTGTTTCAGGAAGAGAACAGAGTTTCCTTTCTTCTTCGCTAACAGGTCTGTACTTCAAAGCCCTTTTATATTCTGTGTAGCACCTTTTCTTAGGCAGTGAAAGGTTCTGTATTGCCTTTCCCTAGAGCAGTGGGTACCAACTTGTGGTTGGCCCCTCAAGTGATCTGTTTTTCATAATGAAAATCTCCCAAGCTACTTGCATCTCTACCTTAAATTTTAAAAATATTTTACAATTGTACCTCACAAGGAAGCCATTCAACAGAATTCTCTGAGCCTAAAGTAGGTTAGTTGGATTGAACAGAGCTAAGCTTCTTCCATGACTCATCAGTGTCCACGTATAAAAGTAGGGCTTTGTGCTTGCTTCAGCAGCACGTATACTAAAATTGGAACAATACAGAGAAATTAGCATGGCCCCTGTATAAGGATGACACACACATTCTTGAAGCATTCCATATTTTGCACAGTCCCTGGAAGGCCATTTTACTATTTGCTAACAGTGTGAGTTAAAGCAGAAGAGTGGCACCCAGTATTGAAATTGTGATTTTCATGACAAAAATATTCATTTATAAGGTGACCTATGAAATGAGAATGGAGTTAACACGTGGGATGTTATGTGTAAATATGTTGTTAGTAGGTATCGCAGAAATGAGAAAATGTCAATTTGTGTCTCCTTCATGAAACTTAAAAGTAGGGGCCTGGTGCAGTGGCTCATGTCTGTAATTCCAGCACTTTGGGAGGCCAAGGTAGGAGAATTGCTTGAGGCCAGGAGTTTGAGACCAGCCTGAGCAACATAGCAAGACGTTAACAGCACAACAAAATAATAAAAATGAGCCAGGTGTGATGGCATGCTCCTGTAGGCCTAGCTACTCAGGGGGCTGAGTCAGGAGGATTGCTTGAGCCCAGGAGTTTCAGGCTGCAGTGGATTATGACAGTGATAGAAGCACTCCAGCCTGGATGATAGAATGACGGCCTGTCTCTAAATAAAAGTAGGGTTTGTTTTCCACATCAGTTGGAATGATGGACATGAAAATTAAGCATCATTCTAACAAAGATCTGCTGGTTCAGAGTTTGAGGAGGTAGATAGAGAAGGAATAGTCATCATCTAAGCCAGGTCTTGACGTCTGTTAGTTTTCTGCCCTTGCTATGATCAATTAGTTCACTAATAGGGGGCAATTATGTTATCTAATTTAATGAGATACTATATTTAAAAGTGAATTCGGTTACAAATTATGAAATTCACTGAGATTGGAAACCATAAAGAATGGAATAACTAATAACCAAAATTAGGACTTAGTAAATTTTCTGAAAATGGCAACATTTGAATATTAGAACTTTTGGAGAAACACTCAATGGGTTTTATTTGGGACTCCAAAATAGTTTTAGCAATAAAATTCAGGAACAAATTATTCCATTTCTTTACTATTTCTCTGAGCATTTAAAAAATGTTATCTTGTTAAGTCTTTATAACCCTGGTGAAATAAGGCAGTAAAATCCTTATTTTTTAGAAGAAGATATTGAGCCTAAGAGAAGCGTCTTGTCCAAGAACCAACAGCTGTTGGTTACAGAGCTAGGACTTCTGGGATCAGGACACTTTCCATTATGTCAAGCTAACTCTAGCTAGTTTGCTCGGCGACACTGCCCTCACTTCATAACTGTTTCTCATTACTCTTCTTCTTATTTAATTTGAAGCTTAACAAGAAATTTTGTAGAGCTTATATATTTGAAGTATATGGGATAAAGTTCTGCTATTAGCTCTGATATTGGCTGAAATACTTTTAAGAATTTGAGATATTTGGTAAGTATTTTTTGTATCAGTATTAAAATAATTTTATTTATTACATTTTTCTGTATGTAGCAGTCACTACCTGATTTCAGAATGCAAAGAAGAAAGGATACCTAAAAATTCTTCTCAAAATAGTGTTTCAGGTAAGACTTCTGATAGTGAATTACTCTTGGTAATAGTATCATGGATAAAATAGTAAAAGTAAGGGAGTGTTGATCACAGAAAAGCAGTTTTAAAAAAATCAGTGTATAAGGTACATGTATATTTTTTCTTAATTTCTCTTAGTAATCTAGAATTCAGAATTATTTAAGAAGTTACATCGGCCGGGTGCAGTGACTCACACCTGTAATCCCAGCACTTTTGGGAGGCCGAGGTGGTGGATCATCTAAAGTTGGGAGTTTGAGACCAGCCTGACCAACGTGGAGAAACCTCATCTCTACTAAAAATACAAAAAATTAGCTGGGTGTGGTGGCACATGCCTGTAATCCCAGCTGCTCGGGATGCTGAGGTAGGAGAATTGCTTGAACCCGGGAGGCAGAGACGTCAGTGAGCTAAGATTGCGCCATTGCACTCCAGCCTGGGCAACAAGGGCAAAACTCTGTCTCAAAAAAAAAAAAAAAAAAAAGTTATTTGTAGATATTTATGATGTCAAATGGTACTTTGTGAAAAAATTCATTTACTTAATTATCATCCCTAAATTCCTATATGAAATTTTTGTATAAATAAGAAAAAAGGTTTTTAAGTTAGTATGTTTTTTTTTTTTTTTTTTGAGACGGAGTTTCGCTCCTGTTACCCAGGCTGGAGTGCAATGGCGCGATCTCGGCTCACCGCAACCTCCGCCTCCTGGGTTCAGGCAATTCTCCTGCCTCAACCTCCTGAGTAGCTGGGATTACAGGCATGCACCACCATGCCCAGCTAATTTTTGTTTTTTTAGTAGAGACGGGGTTTCACCAGTTGACCAGGATGGTCTCGATCTCTTGACCTCGTGATCCACCTGCCTCGGCCTCCCAAAGTGCTGGGATTACAGGCTTGAGCCACCGTGCCCGGCTAAGTTAGTATGTTTTATGTTTTCTTTATAATCACATCATGATGAACTGGACTTGTTATAAAAATGGATCTTTAATTTTTATAATAAATGGTTTGTGTTTATTAAATGAATATTAATTACAATTGACCCTTGAGCAGTGTGCATGCTAGGACTGGTGATCCCCTGTGCAGTTGAAAATCTGCATTAGTTTTTGACTCCCCCAAAACTTAACTACTAATTGGCTACTGTTGACTGCAGGCCTTATGATAATGTAAACAGCCAATTAACATGTGTTTTGTATATGTAGTATTATAGTAAAGTAAGCTACAAGAAAGAAATTATGATTAAGAAAATCATAAAGAAGAAACATATATTTACTACTCATTGAGTGGAAGTGGATTATCATAGAGGTCTTCATCCTGGTTGTCATCATGTTGAGTAGGCAAGAAGTAGGAGGAAGAGGAGAGTTGGTCTTGCTGTCTTGGGGTGGCAGAGATGAAGAAAATCCACATATAGGTGTACTTGTGCAGTTCAAACCTGTGTTGTTCAAGGGTCATTACATAGTGATTTGTGTCACTAAAGATGAACTATCTTTAAAACTGGGAACTCAACAATACCTTTCTGGTACCATAAACAAATGGCAATAAGAATTGCAGAACTTAGCTAGTGTGCACCAATATCAATAGGAGATTATTATTATTATTATTTTTTGAGACAGAGCCTTGGTCTATTGCCCAGGCTAGAGTGCAGTGGGGCGATATCGACTCACTGCAACCTCTGCCTCGCCAGTCCAAGCGATTCTTCTCAGCCTCATAAGTAACTGGGATTACAGGCGCATACCACCATGCCCAGCTAATTTTTGTATTTTTAGTAGAGTCAGGGTTTCGCCATGTTGGTCAGGCTGGTGTCAAACTCCTGACCTCGTGCTCCGCCCACCTTGGCCTCCCAACATGCTGTGATTATAGGAGTGAGCCACTGTGCCCAGCCAGGAGATTATTTTTTAAAGATACTGAATACAGAAGTCAGAAAAGCAATTCCTTGTTGAGAAGTACAAGTCATGTTGCATATTCTTATACCAACAAAATCTCATTATTACTGACTTTATTCAGCATAAGTTGAAATAGAATGAGGTATATTTACTTTGTTAGAACAAGAAGTGTTCTTCTGTCTGCTGGATAATTGTCGTAATAACAGTAATTTTGTTAGAACAAGACACTGTTCTCATTAGCCAAAAGATTATCATAATCAATATTCAAATATCCCAAGTCTGGGCTCAATGAATAATAATGAAAGTGCAAAAATGTCCAATGAGAGACTCTAAAAAAAGATGGGAAATTATTAAAGTAAGTAAGAAATGTTTCTTTCTTTTCTTTTTTTTTTTTGAAGTAGAGTCTCACTCTGTTGCCCAGGCTGGAGTGCAGTGGCACGATGTTGGCTCACTGCAGCCTTCGCTTTTCCAGTTCAAGCAGTTCTGCTTCAGGCTTCCAACTAGCTGGGATTACAGGTGTGTACCACCATGCCCAGCTAATTTTTTTTTTTTGTATTTTTAGCAGAGATGGGGTTTTACTATGTTGGCCAGGCTGGTCTTGAACTCCTGATCTCAGGCAGTCCACCCACCTTGGCTTCCCAAAGTGCTGCGATTACAGTTGTTTGCCACTGTGCTGGGCAGAAATGTTTTCTTTCCCTTTTTTTTTTTTTTTTTTTTTTTGAGATGGAGTTTGTCACCCAGGCTGAAGTGCAGTGGCATGATCTCGGCTCACTGCAACCTCCACCACCCAGGTTCAAGCAATTCTCCTGCCTCAGCCTCCTGAGTAGCTGGGATTACAGGTGACTGCCACCAGGCCTAGCCAATTTTTGTTAGTTTTAGTATTTTTGTATTTTTAGTAGAGATGGGATTTTACCACGTTGGCCAGGCTGGCATCAAACTCCTGACCCCAGGTAATCCACCCGCCTCAGCCTCCCAAAATGTTGGGATTACAGGCATGAACCACTGCGCCCAGCCAGAAATGTTTCATCATAACAAAAATGCTACTATGCCACCTGGATGTAACACCTAATGCATTGGATAATCTGAACTGTTTGAGGACATCTTTAATTTAGTATATATTTGTCAAAGGACTTTTATTTTTATTTTATTTTTTTGTTGATGCACAAAAGCAGAAAAGAACTTTTATAGGTTAGGTTTTGCAAGTTTCAAGAAACATGAATATGGAACAGATATAGTTTTGGTCTTTAAAGTTTTCATAATGGAATAGAGCTGTTCCTATTTTATTTGTGTTTTTTCAATGGAAATATTTTAATTGATTTCTATAATTGTTTACTTAACAAATAACCATCAAGTGTCTTTTAGGTACCAAGCATTTTTTTAATATTGCAGAATGGAAACATTTTATTTCTTTTTTCTTTTTTTGAGAAGTAGTTTCACTCTTGCTGCCCAGGCTGGAGTACAGTGGCATGATCTCAGCTCACTGCAACCTCTGCCTCCCAGGTTCAAGCTATTTTCCTGCCTCTCGAGTAGCTGGGATTCCAGGCATGCACCACCATGCCTGGCTAATTTTGTGTTTTTAGTAGAGATAGAGTTTCACCAAGTTGGTCAGGCTGGTCTCGAACTTCTGATCTCAGGTGATCCACCCACCTCGACCTCCCAAAATGCTGGGATTATAGGTATGAGCCACCATGCCCAGGATATTTTTTATTTTTTTCAAATCAACAACAGCTAACCACAAAATAAAAACATTTAAAAAATAGAATCAGGCGCTTTTCACAATCGTTGTAATTTTTATTATTTACTACTTTATTCAGGGCTCATTGTGTGTAGATGTCCTCTGAGAGCTTATATTTATCATTTATTATGTATTTATTATGTTCAATATGTGCCAGACACTTTATGGTAAAGAATTAAAGGTTTAAAACAGTGTGTGGGATATAAGTTAAGCATGCAGAGTGAGTAGAAGTTTGCCAGGTAAAAAGTCAGAAGAATGATCCTGAACAGAAGGAACGTCTGACAAGATTGCATGTTTGGCAGAAGGAATAGCAAATGTAAAGCTCAGACGCTTGAGTAAACTTCACAGAGTTTATGGGTGTTCGATTTTGCGAGTGCAAAAAGTGTAATATGGAAGTGGTTGGGAATGAGGTTGATGCTTAGCTATGGCAACCTTGTGAAAGATGTTTTTTTTTTTTTTTTTTTTTTTTTTTTTTTTTTTTTTTGAGACGGAGTTTTGCTCAGGCTGGAGTGCAATGGCGCGATCTCGGCTCACCGCAACCTCTGCCTCCTGGGTTCAGGCAATTCTCCTGCCCCAGCCTCCTGAGTCGCTGGGATTACAGGCACACGCCACCATGCCCAGATAATTTTTTGTATTTTTAGTAGAGACGGGGTTTCACCATGTTGACCAGGATGGTCTCGATCTCTTGACCTCGTGATCCACCCGCCTCAGCCTCCCAAAGTGCTGGGATTACAGGCTTGAGCCACCGCGCCCGGCGAAAGATGTTTTTTAATAGTTCAGTGTAGATCTTAGCCTGTAGGCCATGGGAAATTTATCAGTTAGAATGCTTTTGGCTGCAAATAATGGGTGACCTAACTAGAAGTGGTAAAGTAATAAGAACCAGAGTTGTTTTGGTGGTTCAGTGATGTCATTGTATCCCACTTGTTGTCCCTCTTTTAGCTGTGCCATTGGCAGTGTTTTGTTCACATCTCCTTTCATGGTTGGTTGATTAGCAACAGCTCTAAACATCATGTTCTCACAAAACAATAGCTCTAACAGCTAGAAGGGCTGCTTTTCTTCACATTTCTTTTAAATAGGAAGAAAACTCAGAAGCTTACAGTGGACTTCCTATTTCATTTTATTATTTTATTTTTTTCAAGACAGGGTCTCACTTTGTCACCCAGGCAGGAGTACGGTGGCCCAATCACAGCTCACTACAGCCTTGACTACCGGGCTCAAGTGGTCCTCTCACCTGAGCCTCCCAGGTAGCTGGGACTACAGGTGCACACCACTACGTCTGGCTAATTTTTTATAGAGACAAGGTTTTGTCATGTTGCCCAGACTAGTCTCAAACTCCTAAGCTGAAGCCATCCACACCCCCCTTTGCCTCCCAGAGTGCTGAGATTATAGGCATGAGCCACCATTCCCAGCCTCCTATCACATTTTATTAGCTGGGTTACATCACATGCTCATTTTTAAACCAGTCACTGGGAAAGCAAATGTAGTTACTTTGATTAACTTAGAATAATCATTTCTCTTGTGGAGCTGGGGATGGTATTGGGATGATAAATATCCAAGTAGACTTGTGTTTTTCCAGCAAGAAAGATTAAAGAATGGCTATTGGATAGGGAGTCAGCAATGTTTGCTGCAGGGATTCATTGGAGAATTTTGAGCAGGGGAGTCACAAGATTAGACCTGAGCATGAGGCATTCTGGCTGTGGTATAAAGCAGGGATGGACAGCTTTTCTGTAAAGTGCCAGACAGAAAATATTTTAGGCCATGTAGTCTTTGTCATAGCTATTCCCTCTGCCATTGTAATGTGAAAGCAGTCATAGATAATACGTAAGTGAATAACATGACTGTGCCTCAATAAAACTTTATTTATAAAACCTTATGGCTGGCTGAGTTTGGCTTGTGGCCTCTAGTTTGCTGGCCCCTCATATACAGGATAGATGGAAGGTAACCAGGTAAAGAGACTGGTAAACAAAGGAAGGTTTTGCAGTAGTCAAAGCCACAGTTTCCTTGTCACTAATCCTTGGATTAGTATTCATCCATTATGAGGTTTTTACCATCCATGGTGAAATACATAAAGTTAGGAAGCTCAGTTTATTCATTTTATATTATTTATTCTTTTAGAGATAGGCTCTCACTATGTTGGGCTAGGCTGGTCTCAAACTTCTGGCCTCAAGTGATCCTCTGGCATTGGCCTCCCAAAGTGCTGGGATTATAGGCATGAGGCACCATGCCTGACCAGTTTATTCATTGTAAAATGTTGGTCTTTCTCTTCACGTTATGACTTTTTAAATTAGTTTTGCTTAAATTTTTTTTTTTCATTTAAGAAATAACATTAAGAGTGCATTTTTTTTTTTTTTTTTTTTTTTTTTTTTTGTGAAAGTCATCAGTTAAGATTCCATGTTTAAGAGATATAAACGGCCGGGCACAGCGGCTCATGCCTATAATCCCAGCACTTTGGGAGGCTGAGGCGGGTGGATCACAAGGTCAAGAGATCGAGACCATCCTGGTCAATATGGTGAAACCCCGTCTCTACTAAAAATACAAAAAAATTAGCTGGGCATGGTGGTGCACGCCTGTAGTCCCAGCTACTCGGGAGACTGAGGCAGAATTGCTTTAACCCGGGAGGCGGAGGTTGCGGTGAGCCGAAATTGCGCCATTGCACTCCAGTATGGGTAAAAAGAGTGAAACTCCGTCACAAAAAAAAAAAAAAATAGATATACTAAGTAAATATTATATTAAGTAAATAAGTAACATAAAGTAAATGTTTATATTTCCAGGGGTAGTGGAAATGTAAGGCAGAGGCAGAAAAGAGGTTAGTTAGTAGGATTTCGTGATTATTGAGTGTAAAAAGTTAGGGGGCAGAGAGAAATCTCAGATGATTCATAGGTTTCTAGGCTGTTCACAAGCATTTAAACTGAAATTGTCAGGTGAGTAGAGAAGAGCAGCAGGTCTGCAGGGAAGATTAACTTTTTTCTATGCATGTGAATATTTATATAGGATATTAATTCTATTATAGCGTCCAGATACGGTCTCAGAGGAATGCTTTATAACAAAGCACGACAGTCTTATGCTTTCTATATTATATGTTTTTCTATTGTTGATTTAAAATGTGTTTTACTTTTCTCTTTTTTGTAGCGGATGAGAGCTCTGAAGATTCCTTAAGCAGGTAGTATTTTACAGATTAAAAAAATATATTAACTAAAGGAATACAGAGAAAAGAAACTTATCTGTTGAGTACCCTACTCTGAGCTAGACACCTTATTATGTGCTTCTCCATATAGTCATCCCAACAGCTTTGCAAAGTATCTGTGCTATTATAACCCAATGGTGTAGTTCAGAGAGGTTCATTAATTGGCCCATGACCTCACGTTAGCAAGCAACTGACCCATGATTTGACCATCAGCTCGCTTGGCTCCCAAATCCCTTCTCTTGCCCCTCAACATAGATTGATAGAGACCTATGCAGCACTGGATCAAGGTACAGGTCCAAATCAGATCAATTCAGAGAGCTACATTTAGTTACATGTTAACTGTTAGAGTTTTTCTTAGGAGCCTGGTCAGTCCAACAGTTTGTCTTAATATGTTTGATAATTGCTGTAGTAACTAGTACTTTGTCTTTATCATCAAAGGTTTTAGGCCAGATCTCACCTAACTGTGGCCACAGGGCCATACAGTTTACATAAGCAAACGAGACAAGTCTTAGAAAGGAATTATTTTACTGTAAGTGAAGGCTGTCTACATATAGACCATATTGTGTTAATTATACTTAGCATCTAGTTAGAGGATGTTTCTGATTTATGTCTCTACCTACTGACTTCTCAGTTTGGCGTTCCTTTAGGCTAGTACCCCAGCTCCATCTGAGTTGTGTAAAAGATATGATTTTGTTTCTCTTTAAAAAAAAAAAGAAAACTGCATAGTATTCTATGGGGTGAGTTGTGTGTGTGCGTGTGTGTGTGTGTGTGTGTGTGTGTGTGTATGTATATATATACACACACATATATACACACACACCCACCCACCATATATATATAAAACATATATATGTAACATATGTATATAAAATGTTTTATATATATATGTGTGTATATATATATATATAAATATGTGTGTATATATATATATAAATATGTGTATATATATATATATATATATATATATATAAAACGTTTTCTTTATTCAGCCAACAGTGTTCTATTATTTTTTTCAATTTCTGCCAGCTAAGTATTTCTCATTTTCCTATCAACAGAATCAAAAGCATATGGAATTTTAGGATTTTAAGGAATCAGACTAATCAAAATGCCATTTAGTACTGCAATCTGTATTTAACATTTTGGTCAAATGGTTCAGATGGAGAACCTGAAACTCAAAGAGATTAAATTGATTTATTTGGATATGACATCCAAACTCATTTCAGAGCACAGTACTCTTCCTTCTTTATCATCCTACAGGTTAATATTTGAATAATAGAAGGGTGAGTGGGCCAGGTGCAGTGGCTCACACCTGTAATCACAGCACATTGGGAGGCCAAGGAGGGTGGATCACAAAGTCAGGAGATTGAGACCATACTGGCTAAAATGGTGAAACCCCCTTTGCTACTAAAAATACAAAACATTAGGCTGGCATGGTGATGTAGTATTCTCAGCTACTTGGAAGGCTGAGGCAGGAGAATTGCTTGAACCTGGGAGGCGGAGATTGCGGTGAGCCAAGATGGTGCCACTGTACTCCAGCTTGGGCGACAGAGCGAGACTCCATCTCAAAAAAAATAAAATAAAATAAAAATAAAGGGTGAGTAGATATAGTGAATCCAGTGGAAGAGCAAAGAATGGAATTAGCAGAGGAAGGCCAAGTTTGAAGAGAAACAACACTGGGTTGGATAGGAACAGGGCTTTTGGAAAAGAGATCAGAATATTGAGGTTTCTGACAAATTTGATAATGATAAATGATAGGAATGAAGCATAAAGGATATTGGGAATTATCTAGAAAGGCATATTAAAATAGGGGGTTCAGGGGAGTCCTGAACAGGTTGCTGCTTTTTTGTATAATAGGAAGAACTGACAAACTTTCAAGGTTTCTACGGAAAAATGTTAAAATAATTTGAGCCACTGGGGAGAGTCTCTACAGCCAATAGGAATGTGCTATAACTACTTCGACCTCAATTTATAGAGTGGTGGCTTAAGTACTTTGGAGCTGGAGGGTGCTGAACTACATAGATCTGTGGCCCAGGGAAGGTGTCCCCTCACCTCTGCCTCATTTCCCAATTCTCTGATGTCCTTCCCATGGGCATGTAGGGTAGTGCAGGAGTAGGATTGGCTGGCAAGTCAGTCATGGAGCTTCAGTTGGGTAGTTGGTAACATGGCTATGCTGGTGGCGGATGACTGAGACTCCATTTAGCTTGTTTTCCAGGAGCAGGAAATAGAGAGCTCCTACTCTTGGGCATTTGAGACCATCCTTTCAGGAATTTGTGCTTTCGTAGGATGAATACTTAAAGGTTAGAGATGCCAGGGACCCCTGCAGAAGAGGGAGCCCATAGGAGGAAAGGTATTTAGATACTTAGAGAAATATAGGTGCAACTACCAGGACCCTTTCTCCAGCAGTCTTTTCTTTGGGTATCTGAGTTCCTATGAAGATTTTTAAGGGCTTGGTAGTTTATGTGGTCCGGAATAAGGCAGGACCTCTGTAGGGAAAATAATGGATTTTATAACTTTTAATGTTTTAATGTTTCTGGGATGAGTAGTCCCAATAATAGCACATACATTTGTATTTTGACTTTTGTCCTTCTAGCTTTCAGACATTTCAGACATTTCAAGGGACTCCCTATCCTGTTTTAGGGTAAAGGGAAGCAGTGAGGCCTTAAGTGGTTTCCATGTCGAAGAACTGCCATTTTTGAGTGACACAGATTAGTCTTTGAACTGGAGATAGATAGTGGAGAAGGGACAGTGTATCTTTCTACCTGGCTTTTTTTTTTTATATTTTTTGAGACAGTGTCTTGCTCTGTCACCCAGGCTGGAATGCAGTGGTGCAGTCTCACCTCACTGCAACTTCTGCCTCCTGAGTTCAAGCAATTCTCTTGCCCCATCATCCTGAATAGCTGGGATTACAAGCATGTGTCACCACGCCTGGTTAATTTTTGTATTGTAATAGAAACAGAGTTTCACCACATTGGCCAGGCTGGTCTCGAACTCCTGGGCTCAGGTTATCTTCCTGCCTCCACCTCTCAAAGTTATGGGATTACAGCCGTGAGCCACTGCATCTGGTCTCCACCTTGTTTTAGATTATCAGGTTTGTTCTGGTTCAGGTAACAAAAGTTATATCAGCCATTAATTGGATTTTCAGTTCAGTCTTCAGGACGGACAATTTGTGAAGACAAAATATTCCCAGGCTCTGCCAATATCTTGGCTGTCACTATTTGTTATAGAACTAAGATTGAGTCTTTATTGAATATTTAATAGGTTTGGAGAGGTGGAGGTAGCAATAGGTAACTAAAATCTTTTTCAAAAACCGAATTTTAATTATATCAAGAAACATCACTTAATAGTTGACCTTTCACCATATTTTTGTTCTTATTTTTTTGGAGAGGGCATCCAGATTGAACTAGGAGGTTTTTGTTTTGTTTTTAAAGAAATTTAAAGAAATTAATTCACTCATTTTTTGTATATTTTTATTCTAAAGGCTTTCTGGCAAACCAGGTATTGATGATTCATGGCCTACCTCAGATGATGAAGATGTCAATTTTGATATCAAGGTAAAGTGCTCTCTCATGAAATTCATGTTTTCACTCTGAATCTAGTTTCGTATAGTATTCTCTTAAAATTTGGCAGTGGTCTACTTATCACCGTTTTCTATTTGTAATGGAAAAGTGGTCAGAGGAAGCCATTTTATAGAAATATAACCAGCTGAATTCTTTTTTTTTAAACTTTGCTAAATAACAAAGGATTGATAAATAATGTGATAGAGTGGGGATTGCAAAAAAAAAAAAAGAACGCACTGGAAAATACGTAGTGATAGGAAAATTGTATTGGGAAAAGATTTCCTACAGTAGAGGAAATACAAAATTTGGTCAAAATTTGTATGGATAAGCACTCCTACTATGATTTTAAAATCTTTTTTCATTTTTCTCTGTGGTAAGAATGTTACAGCTTTCAGGAAGTAGTAGATGACCATGTTTAACTAATTGGATGACTTAAAATTAAACTCTTTACTACAGAAGTGTTTTTTAAAAACTGATTCTAAATCCTAATCAGTATTATCAGGGATCTCTTATGAACCAAAGTCTGTGTTACAGATCTGTGCTTCTGCATGTGCCTTAGTATGCTTAAAGCTTTTCCTTTTCTTCCTTGACTTAAGCTCACACTCGATTAGTCATGCCTCTCTTTTTCTTTCCCCCTACACTTTCATCTTTTAAAAATGATTTATCTCAGCCTAGACTTTTCCTCGCAGCATACATTTCTTCAGTGACTGTTATTTCAGTCCATGTTTGTCTTCATTTGTAGCATATTTAGGTGCACCTTTCTATTTTGTAGCGATGTGTGGCTTTTATTCAGCAACCATTGACTCACAAGGATTATTTTTGTTTTTTTCTCTCTTTCTTGTAAGGAGCTGAATTTATATAATCATTTTTTTTTTAGCTTTTTGACAAACAGAATAGAACCAGCCTATAGTATTTGCAATGCCAACCCACTTAAGTAAGATATACTAAGAACAAAATGCTTACAGTTTCTCTCACAAGAAGTAATTCATGCAAATATAAATCATGCATACACATTTCAGAAAATATGTAATTAATTTAAATGTCTTAATGTTTGAATTTTATAATACTCTACCTAGGAATAAATTTTTATTCTAGGCTAATGTGGTTAAGAAAATAATTGAACAGATATCATAGTATTTATGTAATAATCAGCTATGGGTAAAGGTAATAACCTTTGGAGAATATCTGTATCGTCTCACATAATCCTTACCCCATGAGAAGATGTAGTAAATAGCAGAATTGAGGTTTAAAGCTACATCTGAGTGACTCCAAAATCTGTTTTTTGTGTTAATTGTGACTATTACAATTATTTTATCAAATTTGATACTTGTTATTTTTAAAACTTGTTATTCTTATTTTTGTTTTCTAGAATGTCCCAAAACCAAGCTTAGCAAAGCTAATGACTGCTTCTCAGCAATCCAAGAAAAACTGTAAGCTGTTTGAAGACTGCTTATTCTTTTGTTACTCATTGAGTCTTAATTACATATGTTTTCATTTACTCTGTATTTTGTTTTTACTGTAGTAGAAGCAACATATGACATTGTGAGAACAGGAAATAGAACTTCGTTTGAGGATAGAGATTCTGATAGTCAAGATGAAGTTGTGATTGAAAGCCTTCCTACAACATCAATCAAAGTCCAGGGCTTTTCTCATCCTACCAATCCATTACCTGACCCTCTTCCGAAACTTTCCCACAAGTCGTTAGCAAACCCTGGTCTTACAAAGGTACGTTGTTTTTAAAAAAACTTTTTTCCCATACCCTTCCCTTGCCCCCACAATCCACATAATGATGCATCTATTGAGATGATCATATGGTTTTTGTTTCTCATTCTGTTTATGTGATGAATCACATTTATTGACTTGCATAAGTTGAACCATCCCTTCATCCTTGGAATGAAACCCACTTGACCATGGTGAATTATTGCTTTTTGATATGCTGTTGGATTTGTTTTGCTAGTATTTTCTTGAGGATTTTTGTATCTTTATTCATCAGAGATATTGGTCTGCAGTTTTCTTTTATTGTTATGTCCTTTCTTGGCTTTGGTATTAGGATGATACTGGCTTCATAGAATGAGTAGGAAGGATTTCCCCCTTCTCAGTCTTTCGGAATAGTTTCAGTAGAATTCTTACCAGTTCTTCTTTGAATGTCTGGTAGAATTTAGCTGTGATTCAGTGTGGCCCTGGGCTTTTTTCTTGTTGGCAGTTTTAAAATTACTGATTCAGTCTCACTGCTTATTACTGGTCTATTCATGATTTCTATTTCTTCCTGATACAAGCTAGAGGAATTATGTGTTTCTAAGAATTTATTCATTTCCTGTAGATTTTCTAGTTTGTGTTCATAGAGGTATTCACAGTAGTTTTGATCTTTTGTGTTTCTGTGGTATCAGTTGTAATATCTCCACATTCATTCCTACTTGAGCTTATTTGAATCATCTCTCTTTTCTCAGTTAACGTAGCTTGTGGTCTATCAACTGTGTATCTTAAAAAAAAAAAAAAACTGCCGGGCGTGGTGCCTCACGCCTGTAATCCCAGCACTTTGGAAGGCCTAGGCGGGCGGATCACCTGAGGTCAGGAGTTCGAGACCAGCCTGGCCAACGTGGTGAAAATGTGTCTCTACTAAAAATACAAAAAAATTAGCCGGGCATGGTGGCGGGTGCCTGTAATCCCAGCTACTCAGGAGGCTGAGGCAGGAGAATCACTTGAACCTGGGAGGTAGAGGTTATAGTGAGCCAAGATCATGCCATTACACTTCAGCCTGGGCAACAAGAGTGAAACTCCAACTCAAAAAAAACCCCAAAAAACCCAACTTTCGTTTCATTTTGTTTTGTTTCATTTTGTATTGTTTTTGGTTATAAATACATTTAGTTCTGCTCTGATCTTTGTTATTTCTTTTCTTCTCCTAGTTTTGGGTTTGGTTTATTCTTGTTTTTCTAGTTTCCTAAGGTGTGATGTTAGCACTGATTTTCTATGTCACAGAGGTTTTGATAATTCATGGCATTGTTACTTATTTCAAAACATTTTTATTTTTTATTTTTTTATTGTTTTTGAGATGAAGTCTCGCTCTTGTCCCCCTGGCCTCCCATTCATCATCTTAGGAAAAAAAAGAGAGAAAATAAATTTCAGTATAAACTTTCTTAGAGAAATGAATCCAGCAATTATTTGTTTCTGTAGATATTTTGATTTATCTTGTGCTCGTAATTAATATCTGTATGTAATGGACACATATGCACACACAAAATGAAAGTGATCAAAATTTATTATTGTTTTCTAAAATAAACTACCTCTTATAAAAGGAAAGATTGCCAAGGAAATTTATGAAATTGTCTCTGGAAGATATTTTTTACTTTTAAAAGTGTCTCCAGCAATGAGGACATTTTATATTATCATCAGGAAGCTTTGTTAACTTTAGTATCATAGTTATTAAACTTTGCTTATAAATTTGTTCATCTCTAAAACTCAGAATCCTGCCGACTTGATTTCTTAGTCCTTTTCTCTCTTCATGTAAATACTGGTCTTGCTTGATAATCATAGCTGTATTTGAAGACTCTTAAATCTTCATCTTGGATAATCATAGCTTTCTTTTCTTTCCTTTTGTTTTTTTTGAGACGGAGTCTTGCTCTGTCGCCCAGGCTGGAGTGTGGTGGCAGGTCTCAGCTTACTGCAACCTCTGTTTCCCGGGTTGAAGCAATTCTTGCGCCTCAGCCTCCTTAGTAACTGGAACTACAGGTGTGCACCACCACACGTGGCTAATTTTTGTATTTTTAGTAGAGATGGGGTTTTGCTATGTTGGCTGGTCTCTAACTCTTGGCATTCAGTGATCTGCCCACCTCAGCCTCCCAAAGTGCTGAGATTACAGGCATGAGCCACTGCACCTGGCCTTGTTTTTTTTTTTTAAATACAGAGTTTCTGTCAGCCAGGTTGGAGTGCAGTGGCATGATCAAAGCTCACTGAAGCTTAAATCTTCTGGGTCTGGCTTTAGCCTCCCATGGGACCATGGGCATGCACCACCATGCCCAGCTAGTTATTTATTTTTTGTAGAAATGGGGTCTCGATATGTTACCCAGGCTGGTTTCGAACTCCTGGACCCAAGTGATCCTCCCACGTTGGCCTCCCAAAGTCCTAAGATTGCAGGTGGGGCCCACTGCACCCAGCCTCAAATGTTGAAATACGCAACTGAAACCTTGAATCCCATGTTTTTTTCCTTTTTGTCTTTTCATTTTCAAAAGTTCAGAGTTCTGTTTAGGTTCATATTATTCTACCAGTTTACTGTATTTTACAAATATTTATCTTCTTAAGACCATATGCTTTTCCTGAAGTCATCTACTTCTACTCCAAATGTATTTATCGAAATCTGTCTTCTAAGTCCCCTGGGTGGGCTGGGTGCAGTGGCTCATGCCTGTAATTCCAGCACTTGGGGAGGCTGAGGCTGGCGGAGCACTTGAGCTTGGGAGTTGGTGACCAGCCTGGGTAACACGGTGAAACCTTGTCTCTTAAAAAAAAATCCTGAAATTTTTCTTTTTTTTTTTTTTAACATATTTTTATTTATAATTCTATTTCCCAGTGATATTTTCTTTTTTTTTTTTTTTTCCATTTATTTATTTTATTGCATTTTAGGTTTTGGGGTACATGTGAAGAACATGCAAGATCGTTGCATAGGTACACATGTGGCAGTGTGATTTGCTGCCTTCCTCCCCATCACCTACATCTGGCATCTCTCCCCTTGCTATCTCTTCCCAACTCCTCACCCCCCACCGTCCCTCCCCTTTTTCCCCCTAACTGACCCCAGTGTGTAGTGCTCCCCTCCCTGTGTCCATGTGTTCTCATTGTTCAACATCCGCCTGTGAGTGAGAACACCTCCACAGCTTCTGCACGGCAAAAGAAACAGTCATTAGAGTGAATCGGCAACCAATAGAATGGGAAAAAATTTTTGCAATTTACCCATCTGACAAAGGGCTGATATCCAGAATTTACAAAGAACTAAAACAGATTTACAAGAAAAAAGCCCATTCAAAAGTGGGCAAAGGATATGAACAGATACTTTACAAAAGAAATTTTTCTAAGTCTCCTGGATGCCTTGAATTTTATATTAATATGTCCCAACTGAAGACATTGTTTCTGACCCTTTCCCGACTCTTTGTAAACTACTCTGTCCACTGGTTTCCCTATCCCGGTAAATTACACATAGGAAGTAGCACTGAAACATTGAAGCAGGAGAAATCTTGCACTACAGTTTTCCCTCAAATTATGAATCCAGTCACTCACCAAGTTCCTTATTTTCTACCTGCTTACTATTTCTCATATCTTACTACTACAACTTACTTTTTTTTTGAGGTTGCCAAAAGAAAATGTGACCACTCCACTGGTCTCTCCCTTGACACATGAGGATTACAATTTGAGATGAGATTTGGGTGGGGACACAGGGCCAAACCATATCACTGCACTGGGTCTATCTCATAGTATGGACCTGTCTTTGCAGCATTTCCTGAGCTTCCCAGGTGGAACTCACTGTTCTCTTTTGTGCCGTTACTGTCCTTTATTCACTTCAATTTTAGAACTAATGAATTATACTTTTCTGTTCTTCTTGTTTTTGTTTATCTCTATCCCCACTTGATTACTATAGGGAAGAATCTGTCCTCTGATTCTATTTTTAGTTTTTCCCAGGATAGTGCCTGTGATGTGATAGACACAATAAGTGCTTATTGTCTTACTGACTGGTATCATTTGGATGTGTGTCCTGCCCGAAATCTTATATTGAAATGTAATCCCCAGTGTTGGAGGTGGGACCTTGTGGGAGGTAATTGGATCATACAGGCAGATTTGTAGTGAATGGTTTAGCACCATCCCCATTGGTAATGTCTTTGAGATAGCAAGTGAGTTCTCATGGGATCTGCTTCTTTAAAAGTGTGTAGCACCTCTGATCTTGCTCTCTTGCCCTGGCCCTGCCATGTGAGACACCTGCCCCCTCTTTGCCTTCTGCCATGATTATAAGCTTCCTGAGGCCTCCCCAGAAGCAGAAGCTGCTATGCTTCCTATACAGCCTGCAGAACCATGAGCCAATGAAACCTCTTTTTTGCATAAATTACCCAGTCAGGTGTTTCTTTTAAAAAAAAGTATGCCCCCATCTTGGATGACCAGGTATTTCTTTATGGTAGTTTAAGAACCGACTAGTACAGTGACTGATTGAATGGGTAAGTGAATAAATATAGTGTTTTCTGAAGTTTTTTTTTTTTGTTTGTTTGTTTTTAAATAGGAAGGAACAACAAAGCCAGCCACTGGAAAAAAAGAAAATGGTCTTGATACTATTGAAAGTCCTCCACTAGAGCAAACAGATAATGACAATTTGACTTATGTTGATGAAGTGCCCAAAAATAATAGAAGTGGTAAGTTAGTGGATGTCTCTGAATATTTTTCTATCCTTAAATTCTATTGTAGGGGCCAGGTCATGGTGGCTCACACCTGTAATCCCAGCACTTTGGGAGACCAAGATCAGCAGATCACCTGAGGTCAGGAGTTCGAGACCAGCCTGGCCAACATGGTGAAACCCTGTCTCTAATAAAAATACAAAAATTAGCTGGCGGTGGTGGTGTGTGCTTATAATCCCAGCTACTCAGGAGGCTAAGGCAGGAGAGTTGCTTGAACCTGGGAGATGGAAGTTACAGTGGGCTGAGATCACTCTACTGCAGTCCAGCCTGGGCAACAGAGCAAGAATCTGTCTCAAAAGAAAAAAAAATTCTATTCTAAGACAACCAATTAACATATGCAGACTCAAATATTATATTCATTTAAAAATATTTTTATTTTGCTGTCTTTATTCATACTGCCAATTTTTTCCTGAGACTGTGTCAACCTTGTGAAATGCTTTTTTGCTATTATTTTTATTTTATTGAAATGTTCATGAATGGAGATAGACTTGTATATATATTTAATTTTTTTGTTAATTTTATTTTCTATTTTTGTATATATATGTGTTTAAAACTTGTAATACTAAATATTCTCATGAATATATCTGTGTATAACATTTTATAGATATGATGACCGCATTAGGATTAGGACAAGAGGAAGACATAGAATCACCTTGGGATTCTGAGGTACTATCTATTGTTACTGTTATTTTAAAATATAAGCATTGGGTGATGTTAAAACATAAAAGGGATACTTTGACTTGACTTTTTTACCTCTGTGTAGATCCATAAGGAACTTCTTTCTTATATTTTTCAATTGGTAATTAATAAAGTATGTGCTAAGTATATGACTGCAGCATAGTATAAATTCTGCTAATTTGCAAGATTCATTTAAGAATCCAGTGTATTCAATAACAGGTGTCATAAAATTAAAAAAAAAAAAAGAATCCAGTGTAAAACAAAATAAAAACAAACAAACAAACAAAATAGAATCCAGAGTAGGAAAGTGCAAAAAAAAGAAAAAAGAAAAAAAAGGCTTAGAAATCACAGTGGATCAGTGTGCATTCTGAAGTTGTTTATCTAAAAACTAGAGAATTATTTCAGGTCAACCTATGGTCAAATGTATGACTCTATGTTATGTATGGATGAGTAAAAGTCCTAATGAAATTCAGAGAGAAACAGTTTGGAATGCAGTTTTTTTTTGGATAACTTGGAATTTGAAAAGATAACACCTGGGCCTTTAAAGTATTAATATATACTTGTATGGATCTGCAAGGAACATTTCAACATTTCAAGAGAAGGAAGAATGTGGAGAATGCTGACAGTTTGGTTGAGTGGTGTTGTAATAAGTAGAAATGATTTTCAAAATCATTTTCAATGACTTAATAAATATTGAGGGTACTTTTTGTAAACCTGTAGGCAGTACTGTCAAGAAAAGAATGGGAGGCCGGGCACGGTGGCTTAAGCCTGTAATCCCAGCAGTTTGGGAGGCCGAGGCGGGTGGATCACGAGGTCAAGAGATCAAGACCATCCTGGTCAACATGGTGAAACCCCGTCTCTATAAAACTACAAAAAATTAGCTGGGCATGGTGGCGCGTGTCTGTAATCCCAGCTACTCAGGAGGCTGAGGCAGGAGAATCGCCTGAACCCAGGAGGCGGAGGTTGCGGTGAGCCGAGATCGCACCATTGCACTCCAGCCTGGGTAACAAGAGCGAAACTCCATCTCAAAAAAAAAAAAAAAAAAAAGAAAGAAAAGAATGGGAAAGTTGGAACAGGCCTGTGGATTTCTAATTTGGAGTATAAGTTTCAGTAGACAGTTACTGGAGATATCCTATAGGAATATAGTGAATTGACACTTGAGACCTTCCTAATGAGATTTTCAATGTTTGACCTTGAATAAATTTCTGTTTATTGAGTACTGACTATGTGCTAGGCTGTTAGACACCGAATGTACAAGGTGAGGGCTTATGCTCTAGCAGCATAAACTGAAAAACAAGTAAACCACAAACACTTACAAGTCACTGTAAGTACTTCAGATGAAGAAAACAGAGAGCATTAGGTTAGGGAAAATTGAGGGAGTTTGTAGTTAGGATGGGGATTGGAGTGGGAGTGAAGCTCTGTAGTCAGAGAAGATCTTTCTGAGTGTGACCTTAGATTGCCAACTAAAGGAAGAGAAGGAGCAGCCATGTGAAAGGCTAGCAGGAGGGCATTCTGGACAGAGGGCACAATCATCACATCTGTTTATCATTTTGCTCTTAACATCTTGGAATGACCACGAAGCAGGAAGTGGAGTAACTCATCATTATTTTTATTATTATACTGCATAGAAAAGAAAATGTGCAAATAAATACCTGGCACATTTCAGATGCTTAATACATAAATGTTATTATTATTCTATTTTTATGAAAGCTTGCTATACTTTGAAATTATTATTATTATTTTTGTTATACTTTAAGTTCTAGGGTATATGTGCAGAACGTGCAGGTTTGTTACATAGGTATACACGTGCCATGGTGGTTTGCCACATCTGTCACCCTGTCATCTGCATTAGGTATTTTTCCTAATGCTATCCCTCCCCTAGAAATTATTTCTTAATTGGGAAAGAGTTGTATACTATATCTTATATTTGCTTGTTTTTCTTTAAACATAAAGAAAAGTTTTTCTTACTGCTTTGTCATTTTAGTCAACCACTTTCCTATCAGTAAAAGTTTTATCACAAAGTATTTAGATTTTTCCAAGCTTTTGTTTACCTAAATGAAGCAGCTTTTGCAGTGTTCTGTTTATACTTACCATGACATATTCCAAAGTTTTTTATTATGCCAAATATCTTAACACTAAAAATTTCTGTAATTAGAAATATTTTAAATGTTTAATGCTGTAGTATAGCAAGAATGTTCTATTTTTTAAAATACACTTTTTTCCCCCTCTTAATCAGGCAGCCTCTGAACCAGAATAGGTTCAGAGAAGCTCCCCTGAATGCCATCTTATTTTTGGTGGGGAATATAAAGTAGAATTAAGTCTTTTGATATTAGTTCCTTGTTGGACTATGCACATAAGTGAATATTTTATCTGTTAATATGTGTCCTTGGTCATTCTGTGTTTGGTGTGCAGAGTCAATAGCCATCTAAAGATGAAAGATAAGCTTAATCTAGAGAGCATATGTGAGGTTCTTTGTTGAAATGTTTTGGTTTTCAGTACACACTTATCTCATTTTTAAGTCTAATTGCTTTTAAAATAGGAAATTCATATTATATTTGAAAGTGATTAAAGATCTTTAGTGACTCATTCTTCTTGTAAAATTGAAACTCATTATTGATATAATTTTAACAGAGTATCTCTGAGAATTTTCCACAGAAGTATGTTGATCCTTTAGCTGGGGCTGCAGATCAAAAAGAAAAAAATATAGGAAATGAACAAGCAGAAGGTAAGAGATATATTTTATTTTAATAAGGCCATTGGACAGAGTGTTTATATAAAAACATGATTGTTGATATATTCTAATAGCCAAAGAAAATCACCTATTAAATGGATAGTAAGAATAAAGAGAGGTGAAATTGTGATAAGTTGTATATCTTAGGTGTCAGCAACAGGTTAAATTGCCACTGTCACTAAAGGAGCTGAATTGTTAGATCTATTTCAAAATACATTAAGACATGAGGAGAGCCAGGAAGTAAGGAAGAGGAGATGAGTAAAAGAGGAAATGAGAATGAGGAAGGCAGAGAGTATAGAGAGTGAATGAAGAACAAAGACGCAATATATGAAATGGAGAGTGGCAAAATAAAATAATTATAATAGTACATCAGGCCGGGTGCGGTGCTCACGCCTGTAATCCCAGCACTTTGGGAGGCTGAGGTGGGCATATCACTTGAGGTCAGGAGTTTGAGACCAGCCTGGCCAACATGGTGAAACCCCATCTCTATTAAAGATACAAAAATTAGCTGAGTGTGGCGGCATGCACCTGTAATCCCAGTTACTCGGGAGACTGAGGCAGGAGAATTGCTTGAACCTGGGAGGCGAAGGTTGCTGTGAGCTGAGATTGCATCACTGCACTCTAGCCTGGGTGACAGAGTGAGGCTTTGTCTCAAAAAAATAAAAAATAAAATAAATTAATTCTTTAGAAAATGGAAAGGCAGGGTATTAGAAAGGTAGGAAGAGTTTAAAATGAGCTTCCAGTACCAAAACTTGTCAGAGAAGTAGAGCAAAATTTTTGCACTCTTTCTATCCTCCTCACTGTTGGGAAGGCAAGGATGGAGGTACTGGACCATCTTTCTGACCTAGATGAATACAAGCATATGTGGTCAGCCATATGTGTCTATAATTTGATGTTATAGAAAATGTAATTTCAGGCTGGGCATAGTGGCTCATGCCTGTAATCCCAGAACTTTGGGAGGCCGAAATGGGTAGATCACCTGAGGTTAGGAGTTTGAGACCAGCCTGGCCAACATGGTGAAACCACTGTCTCTACTAAAAATACAAAAATTAGCCAGGCATGGTGGTGCATGCCTGTAATCCCAGCTACTTGGGAGGCTCGGGTAGGAGAATAGCTTAAACCCCGGAGACGGAAGTTGTAGTGAGTCGAGATTGCACCACTGCACTCCAGCCTGGGCAACAGAGCGAGATTGTCTCAAAAAAAAAAGAAAGTGTTGCTTTATAGGATAATGTCTCAAAGGCCAAAAGAAGGTAATTGGAAAGAAGAGAGTAGGGTTGCTTATGGAGAGATCAAGGAAGCCATACTCTGATAAAAAGCCCATGGCAACTCTATGTCTTGTAATACAGTTTCAGTTTGGGGGACATGATAGGGAGGAACTTGATGCCAGATTCCAGAAGGATACGCTAATTTGAAAGAATGTCGGGCTGGGCATGGTGGCTGACAGCTGTAATCCCAGCACTTGGAAGGCCGAAGTAGGTGGATCACGAGGTCAAGAGATTGACACCATCCTGGCCAACATGGTGAAACCCCATCTCTACTAAAATACAAAAAATTAGCCGGGTGTGGTTCTGCATGCCTATAGTCCCAGCTACTTGGAAGGGCAAGGCAGGGGAATCACTTGAACTCTGGAGGTGGAGGTTACAGTGAACCGAGATTGCGCCACTGCACTCTAGCCTAGTGACAGAGCAAGACTTTGTCTCAAAAAAAAAAAAAAAACAAAAGAATGTGGAGGTACAGTCGGTATAGACCAGAGCTTCTTAAAATTTAATAAATCAGCTGAGAATCTTGTTAAAAATGCACATTTTGATTCAGCAGGCCTGGAGTTCTACATTTCTAATAAGTTCTCACGTAACGCTGATGCTTCTGGTCCTTGGACCACACTCTGAGTAGTAAGGGTGTAGACTTCCCTGTAGAGAAATCTGAAAGAAGAGTCACTGGACAACAATTCAAGGCATAACAGATCAAGTTAAAACATTATTTTTCTTTTATTTCTGAGCACGTTTCTAGCTAGAGGGTTAGGAACAAAGAGATGGAGAAATAGAAATTATAGCTATAAGATACTATTGTTAAATGAAGAAGAAAGAAGTGCTGAAAATATTCCATGAAAAGAATGTAGAAGGGGAGGAATCAAGACCACAGATCTAGAGATTACTTTTGCAAAAGAAGAGACATTGTCAGTGGGGAAAGAGAGAGGAAAGAAAAAAGTTAGCTAGGTTATTTTGGAGTTAATAGTGAGGAAACTCGAAACAACTCATTTCAGATGGCTTCAGTATATTTACACTTAGATGATTAGATCATTTCTGCTTCAGAAATTATGGGAAGCATGCTAGAATTGGGGTAAACTCCAGTGATTCATGTCTCCTCTCTATAACTGTCAGATATCAAAGATATATGTTGCTTTGGGCTGGTTATGGTGGTTCACCTGTCATTCAGCACTTTGGGAGGCCAAGGTGGGTGGATTGCTGGAGCCCAGGAGTTTGAGATCAGCCTGGACAACATGGCAAGACCCCATCTCTACAAAAAAATTCGAAAATTAGGCATGGTGGTGCATGGGCCTGTAGTTCCAGCTATTCAGGAGGCTAAGGTGGGAAGATTGCTTGAGCCTGTAGGTTGAGGCTGCAGTGATTGATGAGCCATGATTGTGTCACTGACTACAGTCTGGGTGACAGAGTGAGATTCTATCAAAAAAAAAAAAAAAAGGTCTGTGTTGCACTGATATTAATTAATCAAATGAGTTTAATTTAAATATAGAAGCATTGACTTTTTTCTTAAGGAAAGTTACTTTTTGATATGATAGCTGTTTCATAAAATCCTTTAGAGGCTAACATATTTTAGAAATGAAAAAATTACAGTTAATAATTCTTTGAATACTAAAATTGTTATTTTCAATAAACACTGCATTGATTTTAAAAACTGCACTAATTTTGAAATATAAAATATTAATAGCTAATAATTCTGTGGCAATTCAATTTTTTCTTTTGATAAATATTTTAATATCGAAAGCTTATTGTACATTATTTCTTAGGTATGTTTTATATACCTTCTTGCATGAGTGGATCAAGAAACTTTAAGATGGCTAAACTAGAGGATACAAGAAATGTAGGCATGCCAGTAGCCCACATGGGTATGGAAAAAAATGAGTATTTTTGTTAACTGTTATTCTACAAGTGTATATCCAAGCTGATCAGTTCACAACGCTTTCTCTAATGAGAAATGAGTTATATATTCAGCTAAAGTGGCATCACAACTGTGTGCTTCCCAAATTATAGGACAAATTGAAGAACATGATAAATACTTGTAGTATAATGGTATAAATGATTCTGATGTGTTGCATTAAAGATATTCTGTAGCATTTTACCATCGGCCTTGACATTTTTCCTCTCAGGATCATGCTTTGCTCCTCTGATTAAAGATCACTTTTCTCCGCATTGATGAGCCTGCTCACATTGGCATATGTGCACTTTTCTATTTTAGTTATAGTCACTTGGGACAGAATCCCATGTTCAAATCAAAACTGCATGTTTTATTAGACCTATGTTCCTATGTTTTTCTTCAGTACACTTCTGTCATGTTGCTGTTCTAACCAAAATGAAAAACATCCCAACAGTTAATCATTTTCAAACCAAGCATGATGATTCACGTCAATACTAACACTGCATGAATTTATGATTGACTTTGTCATATTTGCATATAATTGATTATATGTCCCTTTTGCTTTTTAGAGTCTCCTGAGAGATATCATCACTTGACGGTAATAAGTTTTATATTTTTATCTTGAATTATCAAATGCATATTGTATAAAATATAAATTATTTGTTAATCATTTTGTTTCAAAACCCATTCAGCCTACCATTGAAATGAAAGATTCTGTTCCAAATAAAGCAGGAGGAATGAAGAATGTACAAACACCCAAAGCAGGTAAATGTTGCAATACATATTTACTCTGGAAGGAAGTACATTAAAATATTTGAAATGTTTGAAATGCTCACAGTTTTCCTATTCCTAATTCTTTTTACCCTGAAATTTGATGGAAGGATTTCTTTTTTTTCTTTTAAATTGAGACAGAGTCTCACTCTGTTGCTCAGGCTGGAATGCAGTGATGTGATCTCAGCTCACTGCAGCGTCTGCCTCCCAAGTTCAAGGGATGGATTCTCCTGCCTCAGCCTCCAGAGTAGCTGGGACTACAGGCATGGCCACCACACCCGGCTTATTTTTGTATTTTTAGTAGAGATGGGGTTTCACATTGTTGGCCAGGCTAATCTTGAACTTCTGACCTCAGGTGTTCTGCCCACCTTGGCCTCCCAAAGTGCTGAGATTACAGATGTGAGCCACTGCACCTGGCCTGATGGAATGATTTCACATAAACAATGTAGATGATATTGTTGGTATTCACATTTGAATAAAATATATTTACAAGCAGAAGAATAAGAAATTTTTAAAATGTAATCTCTAACTTAGATGTTCCCACTTTTATGTTTTATACCCTAAAGTTTCCAGTTTGGAATCTCTATGCTTGTTAGGGATTCACAGAGGTAAATTATGAGACACTAAGATTTCCCCAGTGTTTCAAATGCTTATTGGAATTCTAATCTTTACCTGGAGGAAAACTTTACTTGCAAACATGTCAATAATTATATTTTAGCATTAATCATTTCATCTTAGTGTTATTAAACTGATGATCTAAAGCCAATCAGGAGTTCTGATTAGCAGATTATGTGTGTGTGTGTGTGTGTTACCTTTGATTATTAAAAATAATGAAAGTAATTTTTTTTTTTTTTTTGAGACAGAGTCTCACTTTGTCACCCAGGCTGAAGTGCAGTGGTGTGATCTCAGCTCACTGCAACCTCTGCCTTCCACGTTCCAGCAATTCTCCTGCCTCAGGCTCCCAAGTAGTTGGGATTACAGGCATGCATCACCATGCCTGGCTAATTTTTGTATTTTTGTTAGAGACAAGGTTTCATCATGTTGGCCAGGCTGGTCTTTAACTCCTGACCTCAGGTAATCTGCCCACCTCAACCTCCCAAAGTCTAAGATTACAGGCATGAGCCACCATGCCTGGCCAGTAATTATTATTATTTTTATATATATTTTAGGTTTTGGGGTACATGTGAAGAACATGCAGGATTATTGCATAGGTACATACATGGCAATGCGGTTTGCTGCCTTCCTACCTATACATATGCTTGTTTGCTCTTATTTCTTCATGAGCTTGGTAGATCCAAGAAGCAAGACTTTTTTTTTTTTTTTTTTTGAGATGGAGTCTTGCTCTGTCACCAGACTGGAGTACAGTGGTGCGATCTTGGCTCACTGCAACCTCCGCCTCCTGGGTTTAAGCAATTCTCCTGTCTTGGCCTCCCGAGTAACTGGGACTACAGGCCCATGCTACCACACACACCCGGCTTCTTTTTTGTATTTTAGTAGATACAGGGTTTCACCATGTTGGCCAGAATCGTCCCGATCTCCTGACCTTGTGATTTGCCTGCGTTGGCCTCCCAGAGTGCTAGGATTACAGGCATGAGCTACTGCACCTGGCTGAAACAGGACTTTTAAAACAAAATACTTTAAATGGAATCCCTCAACACAGGAAGACATGAAACAGAAAAAGCATGAAGGAAACAACTTAAACAGTTCCTGTAGATCATTTCACTTCTCATTTAATACCTTTTATAAAGTAATGAATAGAGTCTAGTTCTCTACGGACCCAGATATATACATTTATTCATTTAATAAGAATTCACTTTATATTGTGCACTGATATTGTATATCCTAAATATTTTTGGAAACATTCCCTCAGTTTAGGCCTGCATTATCCTTGTTTTACAATATTGTCTTCTAATTCATTTCCCTTTATTTATTCATATGCACCTGAAATTCATCCTCCCCACAGTATTTAGGGTGGTCTGTCTCCAGTGCAGATAGGACCATGAGTCCCTCTTGAAAACATAAATATTCAAACATCGTAAGATTACATATCAGGCTATTATCATCTGACTTCTGCCTAACTCTCCATCTTTAGCCCTTCCCCTTTCTGCCCTTTTCTCTGGGATTTCTCAACTGATGGTGATGCTCTCCTCTCCAGTGCTTGTATTTTAGACAAATACATACGCTATTTGAGGCTTCTTTCCCTCTGTCATTGCTGTCTTGCATGCTGTTACCCTTTCCTGCCCTCTACTCCCTTTAGCCTGGCTAACCTCACTTTATAAGTCTCAACTCAGGCATGATCTCTAGAAAAGCCATCTTTGACGCCTTTTATTTACATTCTTTTTTTTTTTTTGTGATGGAATCTCACTGGAGTGCGGTGGCATGATCTCGGCTTTCTGCAACTTCGGCCTCCCAGGTTCAAGTGATTCTCCTGACTCAGCCTCCTCAAGTAGCTGGGATCACAGGCACCCATCACGACACCCGGCTCATTTTTGTATTTTTGTATTTATAGTAGACAGGGGTTTTGCCATGTTGACTAGGCTGGTCTGGAACTTCTGGCCTCAAGTGATCCACCCACGTCAGCCTCCCAAAGTGCTGGGATTACAGACATGAGCCACCGTGCCCGGTCTTCCTTACATTCTTTAAACCCCAGTGCTTAGCACTTAGCAGGAACTCAATAAATAATTATCAAGTAAAATAGATAGACTTTTTATAAGATAACTTGAAAGATCGTCCCCTACAGTCTGAGAGCAAGGGCATAGACATATGGAGAAATAATTGACAGTTCAGGTGGAAAAGATACAGTACAAAGATAAGGTACGAAGGCAGCCCCAAGGAAAGAGACACCTGTTTATCTGGGGAAAGATAGCTATAATAGAAGAAAACTTCACATAGCAGTCTGAGTCTTAAAAGATGAAAAGAAATTTGTCAAAATTTCAGATATAAGGAGCGGGATGTACAGTGATAAAGATGTAAAAAGTAATAGTAATTTTGGAACTCATTAATAATGAACAACACTCTGTACCTTGTTAAAAAGGTACTGTTGGCCAGGTGCAGTGGCTCATGCCTGTAATCCTGGCACTTTGGGAGGTCAAGGTGGGTAGATTTTCTGAGCTCAGGAGTTTGAGATCAGCAGGGCCAACATGGCGAAACCCTGTCTCTACTAAAATACAAAAGAAATTAGCTGGACGTGGTGGCGTGCGCCTGTAGTCCCAGCTACTCAGGAGGCTGAGGCAGGTGAATCGCTTGAACCCAGGAGGCGGAGGTTGCAGTGAGCTGAGATTGAGCCACTGCACTCCAGCCTGGGTGACAGAGCAAGACTCTGTCTCTACATTAAAAAAAAAAAAAAAGGTACTGTTAGAGAGAACATTTACAGTGTTACTTTATGTATTTCCACTATGTCTTAAGATTTTGTTTTGTTTCTGACAGTTTTGCTCATTTACGTTGGGTGAATGAATTTGTGAGGCATTAACCTGGTATCATCTAGTGTTGCTAGTCTCCCCAAGTGGTTTGTTGAAGTTTTGGATAATGGTTGAAGTTTTAATTAGATACTTCATTAAGTTGATAGTTAAAATTATTTCTTACTGGGAAGTAAATGTTCCACTAAAGATTAGGCTTCATTGAAACTTTTTGTGATTGCGCCACTGCACTCCAGCTAGGGTGACAGAGTGAGACCCTGTCTCGAAAACAAATAGAAAAAAAACCCCTCTCAGTTTATAAAATACAAATAAATGTTATTTTCTGTTTCTATAAAGACTATACCTTTTACCTAACTGCTCTAAGTAGTTCATTTAACTAAACATTTGGATTTTTTCAGCTGAACATGACTTAGAAGTAACATCAGAAGAAGAGCAAGAAAGGAAAGGAAGTGAAAATAACCAGTCACAGGTATTCAATTTTTTAAAAAACTTCTGGTTTAATATTGTTTTCTTTGCCTTAATGATGTAACATAGTCCAAATGAAATTGCCTTTCAGACTAGCCTTTTAGAATCAATAGATCATTATTTAATACTTAGTATTAAAAACATTTTGACCAGATAAATATTCTTAGAATGTCTAGTAAACTATAGCTAATCTTTTGTTTTTGTTATCGTTACTTTTTACCCTTGAAATTGAAGCCAGAAATTTCCTGAGTATTGTTTCCTCTTTCATTTTTATAACTTCCTTACGTGATAAAGATGGTAGCATCAAATATTAATAATAATCAAATTATTATTAATAATATGATCAAATAGAATCATATTATTGAGCAGTAGAAAATATGAACAATTTAACACTGATGGCCACTGAGTTGGATTTATTTTAAAAGAGGAATCATTCCCAGTGGTTTAGGATTTACATTCTTTTTGTTTTTGGATGGAGTTGCCCTCTTGTTGCCCAGGCTGCAGTGCAATGGCATGATCTTGGCTCACCACAACCTCTACCTCCTGGGTTCAAGCAATTCTCCTGCCTCAGCCTTCCAAGTAGCTGGGGTCACGGGCATGTGCCACCATGCCCAGCTAATTTTGTATTTTTAGTAGAGATGGGGTTTCTCCGTGTTGGTCAGGCTGGTCTTGAACTTCCGACCTCAGGTGATCTGCCCACCTCGGCCTCCCAAAGTGCTGGGATTACAGGCAAGAGCCACCGTGCCCAGCCAGGATTTATATTCTTATATTACTGGTCACTAATTCCAAGGTTAAAGGTTTATTCTGCTTTGTGGTCTCTGTTGACTTCAGCTCCTACATTCAGGGAAAGAATGGGGTCATAAAATCAACCCAGTTATTAAGAGAATCAGAATTAATTAATAACTGAATTAATTCCTTTCAGAATGGGATCTTTCCATTGTTAGGATATAAACAATAACTTCTGATTATTTCCATCTAGGAAATCAGTAAATACTACGGAATTTTTTAATCTACTATTAATGAAGCTTATGTAAGAATTGGACTTAAGCGGATAGTCAATTCAGATTCATAACACCACATTATAGTATATAATTTCAATTAAAATGTAAGAATTTGCTTTTTGTTCTGATTGGTGTTTATTTTGGCTCCTAATAATTTAAAGTTTCTCTGCTCTCCAGTGAGAAATCTTTAGAAAAAGTACTTAAATACACTGTAGGGGCTCAGTATTTGATGTATGATAAGATAAAATCTTTTTAAGTCAGGATGCCTTTATAATACTACAAATCATCTGCTAATTTATTTTCAGTAGATTTAACACATAATTAATTAAGTTTAATCCAAAGGAACAGTGATAAAGTTAACTTTGCTGGTTCATGTTTTTCTCCTATTTTAGGCTAAGGCAAATTAGTTTTTGCTTCTTAGTTACAATCCAGTGATTTAGGAGTAACTAAACATAGATGAAGAAGTTTAACAGTTCAGTTTTAATTATTTCCTAATTTTTCTTTGTTTATACCTGATTACTTAAGGATAAAGTTATTTTAAAAACATGCACCCTGACAGAAGAGACATCTGAAAAACAAAACAAGCAAAGTAATCTTCCACTTTCACAATGTCTGCAAAACATGTCTCAAGAACCAGAACTGAATAAGGAGTGTGATAGAGAGGATATATCTTTATATTCAGGACTTCCTTGTGTGCAAAATGATGAAGAAATACCGACCAAACAAGGCAAATTAGAGTGGAAAAATAATTTAAAACTCATCACAAATGAGTTAAAGCAGAGCTGTGGTGCAACTTATGAAAAATACAAAATTACTGCTTGTCCTGGGAAAGAGCCACTACATGATAGCTCTAAAGGAGGTGCAGATTTTAAGGAAATACCCTCTTCTTTGACAAATAATATACTTGATTGTGATGAAAAAGATTCTACTATCTCTGTAGTATTCCACGCATTGCCTGAACAAAAAGAACCCAGTCTTGAAAATGTCTTTCCATCTCTTTCATACTCTGGGTCCCCAGAATATGTTTGCCAGTCATTTTCTAAGCCTTATTTAAATGAAAATAAATTAGTCGGAGGAAATAACAAACCAGACACTGAGCATGTTTTTAACACAGATGAGAATTTTTATAATGATACAGAAAATAAAAAAGTAAGGAGCCCACAAGTAGTTACAGGTGAAATGAAAGAAGAGTTTGATATACAAATAACAAAAAATATGAACCAAAATGCCACTAATTGGAAATTAGACATTGGACATGTGCCTCGGTCTAGTGATCCAAAAAGACCTTTTGATTTGATCTGCTCCAAAGAAATGAAGCATATGATTCAAATAAAAAGGCATAGTATTTCTGCTGGTACAGATGCTTACAAGAAAACAAAACCAATACAGAACTTGTTCCAGAAGCCGTTATATGATAATTGCAGTGCTAATAACTATCAAAGCATGGAACCTGAATTAGAAAATGTGAGGTCTTCTCCACCACAAAGTGACAGAACATCAAAAGTATCTCTAAAAGAAGAATTACAGCAAGATATTCAAAGGTTTAAAAATGAGATAGCCATATTAAAAGTAGAGTTCCGGGCTTTGGAGAAAGAAAAATTTCAACTTCAAAAAGAGGTAGAGGTTTGCTTGCTGCTAACTCTTTGTTTTTTCTCTATCAATTATCTGATCCATTCTGATTTTCTGCTTATGAAGAGCTCATGTATAAAATGGCGTTACCTAAATAGGTAATCGTATGTAGAAATAATTATTTCTGTTAAGTAACGGGAGTTAAGGAAAACATTCTCACAATCATTGTTCCTTAATCAACCTAAGAAGTCTATCAGTCTTCCAAGTGGCATATGGACTGGGAAAACTAATTTAGCCATATATCATGTGACCTTGTGAACCAGGATAAGCGTAAAGGAAATTACTTTATGAAAGGTAACAAGTGCTAGGGTGTTTTTCCCCTATTGACCTAAAGATGAATCTTGTATTTAAACAACATGGCAATACAGTGGGAAAGAAGCAGTGACTGAGAAGAGATGTAAAAACGTATCTAGCCTTGAGTGTTATAACAAATATTCCCAGGCAAAAGAACCTATTTAATGTGCTTTCATGTGTGCAAGTTTATCTTTTTGACTCAAACTGTTGGAACTTATAATTCCATTATGATCACTTTAAAGATTTTTGGCAACAAATACATATACTTTCACATATTTTAAAATCATCAGTCAGATATTTCTATTGAATCAGACCTTTACATTAGGTTGTTTAATAAAGTATGATAAGTTTGGGGATGTAAACCATATAACTAGCATAAATCCTTGGCCAGAAATTTAGTATTTAACTCCAAAGTAGAAAGCTGAGTTCTGTACATTGAGTCTTAAAGATAAACAATAATCTGCAGATAATCTTCTTTAGAAGTAAAAGTAGATGAGGCCTCCCACACTATGGATTAAATTACCTCCCTGCTATGGCATTAAATTACTTTGCCAGTGTCACACTTTTAATTCATCTGATTAAATGTGATGATTTTATCTGGTAATTTATCTGATTCAGCATTATGGAGTTATAGCATCGCTTTTGGTGCCATAAAATGCTAGATAATGCCACTTTAGGAGCTCTGGATGGATCATTTAATCTTTCTTGTTTTACTCTCATTATCAGTAGATAATGGGGCTAATGTAGATAATTAATACTTATAGTGTATATTTTCCAGCTATAAAATTGTATGGTTATTGAATGTGAAATTTGGAAAGCATCTCATTTCCCAGAATTCCACACCAGCAACTCAGCAGTTTCACTCTGTTTTTTATGTTGTGGCAAACTTTTGTTTCTGTATTTCACTGAACACCTTCACTTTGTTGATATCCCAGGATCCAAATGAAAAAAGAATTATAAAAGACACTGGGGAAAACAACAGCTGAGGGCAGAAAGGGGAAAGATTGCTTTCTTTTCCTGGAGCAGTGTTACATCCTCTAAATCTGGCTGTGTAGTATGAAATCAAGGCGGTAAAGGCAGAAGATGCATCTTGTATCTTTTTTCTCTATTTCTACCAGTAAAATGGGGTGAAAATTCATAGTAGATAGTGAAGATTGGTTGGGAATAAAAGCGCAAAATTAAGAAGAGCCCTTGAAATTTTGGAAAATTCTGTTTCACTCAAACAGAAATGAAGCAGAATTTATAAAAATTTCATGGATAAAATTCTGAGAATTATAGCTTATAATTGTATAACACTTATATATACAATGATCCTATTTTTATTGGCTAAAGTCACCACAGTTAAACTGAGTCAAATGATAAACTCAATGAAAACAAATTATTTAATAAAGCAATAGCAGTTCCTTAGTATCAAACTTTCATTAAAGGTTGAAGAAGAAAGGAAAAAACACAGAAATAATGAAATGGAAGTATCAGCAAACATATATGATAGTGCTACTGATGATGAAGATGATGAAGATGTTGATGATAATGATGGATTAATTCAAGAAAGAAGGAGTAGAAAAACTGATGATCAACAATTTCCTAGGAAGGAAAATAAAGAGTATGTTAGGTAAGCCAGTAGCATATTTAACAGCAGAGAATTGTTACTGTGCTATAAAACTAATTCTAATTTGGACTAAGATTCATGATTAATAAATTTTATACTTTTACCATGCAAGGGATATGCAACCATGCCTTGTAATTAGAAAAATGCAAATTGGCCGGGCGCGGTGGCTCAAGCCTGTAATCCCACCACTTTGGGAGGCCGAGGCGGGTGGATCACGAGGTCAAGAGATCGAGACCATCCTGGTCAACATGGTGAAACCCCGTCTCTACTAAAAATACAAAAAATTAGCTGGGCATGGTGGTGCGTGCCTGTAATCCCAGCTACTCAGGAGGCTGAGGCAGGAGAATTGCCTGAACCCAGGAGGCGGAGGTTGCGGTGAGCTGAGATCACGCCATTGCACTCCAGCCTGGGTAACAAGAGCAAAACTCCGTCTCAAAAAAAAAAAAAAAAAAGAAAAGAAAAATGCAAATTAACAAACAATGAGATACTTGTTTTTCTAATTTTATTGATATTTTATTTAAAAAATAATACCCAGTGATGGCAAATGTGAGAAAAAAGGCATTCTTATACACTGTTGGTAAATGAAATTGATAAATCCTTTTTGAAGGATAATTTGGCATATATCAAAATTTCAAATATTCCCTGTCTTTAACCTAACAGCTTCACTTCTGGAACTAGATTGTACAGGAAAATATGGCTTACATAAAAAAACACACACACACACACACACAAGTTAAGGACATTTATTATATATTATGGATAATATACAGTAAGCCTATATATAATATGTACATAACATGTTAAAAATAAATAATATATGTATGTTAAGAATATTTATATAAACATGTTACATAAATACATATGTATCTTAAGGATATTTATTATAGTATCCCTAATGTTGGACTCTCAAATTAATCTGAATAGTGCCAAGGGATTGCACAGAGGGATCTGTAGTCCATGTAAACATTTCAGTATATTGAGTATCTTTAGGGGCTCATGCTCAACTCTTAACATAATACAGTGGGAAATTTCAGTCTCTGTAAATTATGTAGGTGTGTGATAGTGATATCCTTGTGCATGTTTTTACCCTATAAAAAAGTAGTTATGCCTGGGCACAGTGGCTCATGCCTGTAATCCCAGCACTTTGTGAGGCTGAGGCAGGTGGATCACTTGAGGTCAGAGTTCCAGACACTTAGGCAGGAGGATCACCTGAACCCTGGAGGTAGAGATTGCAGTGAGCCAAGATTGTGCCACTGCACTCCAAACTGGGTGACAGGGTGACACTTCATCTCCAAAAAAAAAAAAAAAAAAATTATAATTTTTCTGCTGGTAAATCCAACTTTTTATATTAGGATTAGATACTAGGCTAAAAGTCTATAACAGTTACCAATTCTTTATTTTTTAGATAAGAGTTTTGCTCTTGTCGCCCAGGATGGAATGCAGTGTCGCAATCTCAGCTCACTGCAACCTTTATCTCCCAGGCTCAAGTGAATCTCCTGCCTCAGCCTCCCGAGCAGCTTGGATTACAGACCTGCACTACTACACCAGGCTAATTTTTTTGTATTTTTAGTAGTGACAGGATTTCACCATCTTGGCCAGGCTGGTTTTGCACTCCTGACCTCGAGATCCACCTGCCTTGGCTTGCCAAAGTGCCAGGATTACAGGCGTGAGCCACTGTGCCTGCCCATTATTTTATTTTCAAACAAAATCATAACTAATCAGAATATAGCTATTTTAGAACTGCATATATTAGCATATAGGGTATTCTAAAAGTAAGGTTTTTTCCCCTACCCAGGATATTTTCCTGATTTCTTCTTCATGTTACATGTGCCTCATGCTATTTTAAAAACTTCATTAAAAAAAAACCGCTTTGTTTAAATGAAACATTATCATATTTAAAAACAAAACCAAAGATTAGCCTAAATCTAATTGCTACTTCCATGTCTGAAGGTCATTGCTTGTAGGCAGTGAGCTCCAGCCTTTTACTGTAGCATTCAAGTTTAGCGTAGCATTCATCTCTGTCTAGTTTCTTTCTCTTTTCTTTTCAAGCTCCTGGGAAACATCTAGATGTCATATGCCTAATCTATGCTCACCTTCTACTCTCTAAGTAGAATGGTTTTCTCCCACTTTTTTGTCTTGTGAATTCTTCGTTTATTTTGCCTTTTCTGTTTTAACGCTGTCCTTGTGCTTAGATATAACTTTTCATATATCAACTCTTACATATCACATTTCATCATAATGGTATTATAAAATTGTGGTTTTCGAAGTGAGGAATATACATTTCCTCTTATGTTGCTGATAACATAAGTTGATAATTCGTAAGTTTTTGAATTAATGAGTGAATTGAGGTGGGGCAAATGTTGGAATTTTATAAACATTATTTTTTTATTCTTTGTCAGAATTATTAGAAAACATTGGCTTTTAAATGGATTTTTAATTTTAATTTTTTTTCCTTAACTCTTTCTGCATTTTGTTTCTTTTTTCTTATATAACTGTCATTTCCCATGGATTTTTTAAAGTAGTGGTCCTGCCTTGCAAATGAAGGAAGTAAAGAAAGGAAAACCTACCTCAAAAGAATCTGTGAATTCACTGGTGTTTGAGAATGCCAGCTTACTAACTGGTGGCCTGCTACAAGTGGATGATGACAGCAGTTTAAGTGAAATAGATGAGGATGAAAGAAGGTAAAATCTATAATTTCTTTATTTCTCTATGGAGGAAAAACAAAACACAAGCAAAATAAAATATTTTTCTATGGAGGAAGGTTAGCGGTCATTTTTTTGCTGAAAATAGAATAATGTAGCCTCCCAAAGCCAGAGAATACTCTTCTATATCCAGACTGCTGAAAGGTTAAGATGAGGACGAGTGACTTTGATAAGGAGCAGTTTCAATAAATGGTCACCTTGGAGCCCTGACTGTCGTGGATGAGCATAGACAGCATTTGAGAGAACTTGGATGGAAAGGCAATAGGTAAACGGGTGGTAACTGAAGAAGAATGTGGGATTCAAGGGAGTCTTCCTCCTTTTTTATTTTAAAATGGAAGCTTTTAGAGTATATTTATATGCTTTTGGGAGTGAGCCAGTAGCAAAGGAAATGCTTATGAAATTTAGTTTTGTTTGCATGTTTAATCATCAGAAAGCTTGAACCATTATCTTTTAAAGATTTATAATAAACTAATTGTCCTTAGAACTTCTGTTTATGTAGTTTTTCACTAAGAGGTTGTTCATTTAGAACTGTTTCAGAAATTGAATATTCTAATATAATAGAATGTGTCAATGATATAACAGTTAAACTCTCATATATGAATTTTAAAAAATTATAATAAACATACAAACATGTAGGCTATACTGAATTGAATTTAAACATTTCTTGATGATTGAAGATATCAGAGTACTTTTGACAGTAGTATCACAAACAGCTATGATTTTCTAAGACTAAAAGATCAGATATATTAACTTAATAGTTGTTTAGATTCTGGGGAGAAGGGGAGGATTTTGTTTATATACTGTAGAAAATTAAACTATTGACAACCTATCACAGACTATTACTTTTAGATTATAAAGTTCTAAAATATTAAAAACCATGTTGCCTTATGCCAATAGTGTCATTAACATGTATTGTATGCTCAATAAAGATTTTTTTTTTTTTTTTTTTTTTTTTTGAGTTAGAGTCTTGCTCTGTTTCCCAGGCTAGAAGGCAGTGATGTGATGTCAGCTCACGACAACCTCCATCTCCCAGGTTCAACCAATTCTCATGCCTTAGCCTCCGGAGTAGCTGGGACTACAGGTGTATGCCACCATACCTGACTATTTTTTGTATTTGTAGTAGAGACAGGGTTTCGTCATGTTGGCCAGGCTTGTCTTGAACTCCTGACCTCAAGTGATCTGCCCACCTCAGCGTCCCAAAGTGCTAGGATTACAGGCGTGAGCCACCACACCCGGCCTCAATAAGGATTTTTGAATGCACGAATCGAGTTGAGTAGATGAATGAATGAACGTTGATGAATTTCTTTAGAAAAAATAAATGTTTAGCTTATTGAAAGTAGGTTTCCAACTTGGCTAGATACAAGGTCTTTTATTTTTTTTTTTTTTGAGATAGAGTTTTGCTTTTGTTGCCCAGGTTGGAGTACAATGGCGCGATCTCTGCTCACTGCAACCTCCGCTTCCTGGGTTCAAGCGATTCTCCTGCTGCAGCCTCCCGAATAGCTGGGATTACAGGCGTGTGCCACCACTCCTGGCTAATTTTGTATTTTTAGTAGAGGTGGGGTTTCTCCATGTTGGTCAGGCTTGTCCCAAACTCCTGACCTCAGGAGATCTGCCCACCTCAGCCTCCCAAAGTGTTGGGATTACAGGCGTGAGCCACCGCCCCTGGCAGGTTTTTTTATTTTAAAAAACATTTGCAAGATTCAGAAATTACTATTTATAATTATAGCTGGAAATAGAATGATAATATAGATTCATCTGCTGTCATATCGCTTAAAAATACCTGAAACTAAACATTACTTTCACAGGACAGCAAAATTTGTTTTGGAGCTAGAATTGTTGGGTTTGAATTTTGGGTCTGCTACTGACCAGCTATATGTGGTTGAGCAAGTTACTTGGCTTTTCTGTGCCTAGTTTCTTCCTTTATAAAATACTTAATATGTTATCAACCTCACAGAATTGTTACAAGGATTAAAATGAGTTTAACATATGTACAGTGCTCAGAATAATGCATAGTACTTGCATCGTGAGTTCCGAAAAAATCTACCTAATATCATCATTCAAAAAGGGTTACATGAGGAGTCATGTAAGGATGTTAAGTAATATGTTCCAAATAGGTTCTAGTGCCAGTAAAAGCTTGTTTTTATTGAAAAGGACAGTAGCAAAGAAACCTGGGATGTTTCTGTTGAATAATGCAAGTAACACTATGGTTCCTTTTGCTTTGACTGTCAGAAAGCTTGAACTAAATTTGTTATGATATTATTAGTGTATTTTTCTTGTCCCTTACTGTTACTCTTTCTCTTTATAGTTTAATACCTCTTGTAGAAAGTTATTATATATCTGTAAAAAAGATTCCTGTAAACTTTATAAATAGGGTAAATAAATTATAAATGCAGAGATTTTATTTAAAAAAATAATAGTTTTAGATATTCCTTGTATTTTACATATTAACTATTTACCTGAAAGGTATTTTTTTTCTTTTTAGGCTTACTAAGAAAACATCTAATGAAAAGAACAAGGTACTGTAAAAAATAAATTATCAAAATCATTGTTTAAAAAAACACATTATAAAAGATAAAGTGGGCAGGGCACAGGGCTCACACCTATAATCCCAGCACTTTGGAAGCTAAAGCAGGAGGATTGCTGTCCAGGAGTTTGAGACCAGCTTAGGCAACATGGTGGGAGCCCTGTATCTACAAAAATTAAGAAAAAATTAACCAGGCATGATGAGTACACCTATAGTCCCAGCTACTTGGGAAGCTGAGGTGAGAGGATTGCTTGAGCCCAGGTGTTTGAAGCTGCAGTGAGCTGTGATCATGCCACTGTACTCCAGCCTGGGTGATAGAGCAAGACCCAATACCACAAAAAAAAAAAAGAAATGAAAAAAAAACCAGATAATCTTTTGTTGTAAAGACATTTACTTTAAAAAAGTTATTAAGAAGCATTAGCCATTGATAAAAATATCCTTTTTTTTTTTTTTTGAGATGGATTCGCAGGCTGAAGTACAGGTGCCCATCACCACCGGCTAATTTTTTTGTATTTTTACTAGAGACAGGGTTTCGCAGATTGGTCAGGCTGGTCTCAAACTTCTGACCTCAGGTGATCCGCCTGCCTTGGCCTCCCAAAGTGTTGGGATTACAGGTGTGAGCCACTGTGCCCGGCTTAAAGATAACTATCCTTTTAACAAAAATGAGTTCTTTTAAGAAATACATGTGTTTTTGCTCATATAGAAAGATGGATAATTACCACTTCTGTATGTGCTATAAATATTTTGGGGACATTTTCAAACAGTGTTACTTATTTTATAGGTCAAAAACCAAATACAGTCTATGAATGATGTTGATGACTTAACTCAGTCATCTGAAACAGCCTCAGAGGATTGTGAACTGCTCCACTCTAATTACAAGAATTTTATGTTGCTCATTGAACAACTTGGAATGGAGTGTAAAGGTGGGACCATTGCATAAATTTAAGGTCTTTTTATGTATCCCATTGTAATGTATGTACACTTTGCGTGCATTATGTTATGCTTAGCATAATGTATGTAATGTAATAAAGTGTAATGTATGTGCACTTAGCATACATTATGCTATGCTTAGCACACTTAGCATGGCACCCTTTACCTTAGAGCGCTGATGTGTTTTAGCGATGTTGATCTAACAAATATGCTTTATGTTAAAATAGGATGAAAACAATTGAATATTGTACACTCTTAGCCAAAGACCTAGGAAAATTCCTCTGTACTTTTCTCAGTGTGAATGGCACTCCCAGTCTATTTGTTGACTCTGCTTCTCTCCTGTATCTTTACCCAAGGTCAGGCTACCATCGTCTCCCCACTGGAATACTACAATAAGCTTATAACTGTTTTCCCTGCCACTCTACCTCCTGAAACTATGTCTACTCTGTAACCATAATTATAAATTTCCCAAAATTCAGACCTGATCATAATTACCCCCTTGCTTAAAACCCAGCTATCACTTCTCATTGCTGTAACGTTAAAGATCTGAATCATCTGGCTTCACCCTGAATTATTTCATACCCTTCTTTCTCTGTGTTCCAGCCACTTTCTTAGAAGTTTGTTCTTGTAAGCAATAGCTTTAGTTATGTGTAATTGATAAATGATGAACTGCACATATATAAAATGTTCAATTTGCTAAGTTTTGACCTATGTATACACATGGGAAACCATCACCGTAAGCAAGAGAGTTAACATAGCCATCATCCACAAAAGTTCCCTTATTCCCCTTTATGTTTACTTATTAAACTGCTAAATTGTTCTCTAAGTATTTGTATGTACTATTTGCCATTTCCATCAGCAGTATATGACAAGTACATTTGCTCTGTATTCTCGCAAACACCTAGTTTGCTGTTTTTAAAATTTTAAAATTTTTAGCCATTCTATTCTGATAGGTGTATATTGTGGATATCATTATGGTTTCAATATATGTTACCTTAATGACTAATAATGTTGAGCATCTTTCCATGTGCTTATTTGCCATCTGTAAATCTTCCTTGGTGAATTGTCTTTTCAAATCTTTTACTGTTTAAAAAATGAGGTGGTTGGGGCTGGGTGAGATGGCTCACACCTGTAATCCCAGCACTTTGAGAGGCCGAGGTGGGTGGCTCACCAGAGGTCAGGAGTTTAAGACCAGCCTGACCAACACGGAGAAACCCCATCTCTACTAAAGATACAAAATTAGCCGGGCGTGGTGGTGCATGCCTGTAATCCCAGCTACTCAGGAGGCTGAGGCAGGTGAATCACTTGAACCCAGGAGGTAGAGGTTGCAGTGAGCCAAGATCGTGCCATTGTACCCCACCCTGGGCAGCAAGAGCGAAACTCTGTCTCAAAAAAAAAAAAAATTATGTTGTTGGGCTGGCATGGTGGCTCACACCTGTAATCCCAGCACTTTGGGAGGCTGAGGTGGGCGGATCATGAGGTCAAAAGATTGAGACTATCCTGGCCAACATGATGAAACCCCATCTGTAATAAAAAAATACAAAAATTAGCTGGACATGGTGGTACACACCTGTAGTTCCAGTTACTAGGGAGGCCAGGGCAGAAGAGTCACTTGGACCCCCCCCAGGAGGCGGAGTTTGCAGTGAGCCAAGATTGCGCCACTGTACTCCAGCCTAGTGACAGAGCAAGACTTTGTCCTCTCTACCCCCCCCAAAAAAGTAGGTTGTTTTCTTACTGGTTGCATTTTAAGAGTTCCTTTAAAAATTTATTATTATTATTTTTTCTAATGGAAAAGTTTTTAGTTAACAATAATCATGCCTTGGATGGACCTCATTGGTGGCCCGGCATGGTGGCTCACGTCTGTAATCCCAGCACTTTGGGAGGCCGAGGTGGGCTGGTGACTTGAGGTCAGGAGTTTGAGACCAGCCTGGCCAACATGGTGAAACCCCGTCTCTACTAAAATTACAAAAATTAGCTGGGCATAGTGGCAGATGCCTGTAATCCTAGCTACATGGGAGGCTGAGACAAGAGAATCGCTTGAACCTGGGAGGCAGAGGTCTCAGTGAGCAGAGGTTGTAGTGAGCCGAGCTGGAGCCACTTTACTCCAGTCTGGGTGATAGAGTGAGACTCTGACTCAAAACAAACAAACAAAAAACCTCATTGGCTACGATGCTGCCACTGTGCAAAGCTGAAGAGTTCTTTATATAATATATTCTTGATGTTATTCCCTTTTTAGATATGTTTTTTTGCAAAGATTTGTTCCCCCAGTTTGTGGCTTGACTTTTCATTCTCTTTTTTAAATTTAGATTTTTAATTTTTTTTGTTGACTTTTCATTTTCTTAATGGTATCTTTTGGAGACCTGAAGTTTTTAATTTTGATGAAGTCCAATTTATCTGTTCAATTATGGATTTTGCTTTTTGTATCGTATTTAAGAAGTCTTTGCTTAACACAGGGTCACAAAGATTTTCTTCTATGCTTTTTTCTAGAAGTTTTATAGTTTTAGGTCTTTTTATTTATTTATTTTTTTTGAGACAGAATCTCATCCTCTGTCACCCAGGCTGGAGGGCACTGTCACTACAACCTCTACCTCCTGGGTTCAAGTGATTCTTGTGTCTCAGCCTCCCGAGTAGCTGGGATTTGCAGGCATGCACCATCACACCCAGCTAATTTTTTTTTATGCTTTTTAATAAAGGTGAGGTATCGTCATGTTGGCCAGGCTGGTCTCAAACTCCTGACCTCAGTGATCCACCCACCTCAGCCTCCCAAAGTGCTGTGATTACAGGTGTGAGTCACTGCGCCCGGCCAGGTTTAGGTCTAATATTTAGATCTGTGATCCATTTTGAGTTCATATTTTTGTGTGGATTGAAGTATGGATTCAAGTTCGTTTTTTTTGGAATATCCAGTTGTTCCAGCATCGTATGTCAAAAAGGCTAGTGTTTTTTCACTGCATTTGCCATTGTGCCTTTGTCAAAAATAAGTTGGCTCCATACATGTGGGTCTACTTCTGGACTCTGTTGTGTTTCATTGATCTACAGATGCTCCTGAGTTATCTCAGTTTTTTTTTTTTTTTTTTTTTTGGCTTATTAGCTATGACTCTTAGTTTTGCTGTCTTAGTGGTTGCTTTAGGATTTATAGTATATGAGTTGAACTTACCACAGTCCACCTTCAAGTAGTATTATAACATCATATATGCTTTAATTTTGTTATAGTTCTGGTGTATGGTATAATTATAATAGTATGCTTTCATTTTTTTCTGTCCCAGCCATATCCTTTCTGAATCTGTGGGATTACAATTTTTATTAAGTTTAGAAAGTTTTGGCCAATTTTTCTTCACATTTTTTTTCTGTCTGTCTTCCTCCATTTTTGGGGGCTTACATATTAGCTGCTTGGATTTTTTTCCATAGTTCACTGATGTCTCAAAGTTATGAATCTTTTCTTTTGTGATGGTTAATCTGTGTTTATTTTCATCTAATTTAGTTTTCATCTTTGACATTGTAATTTGCATCTCTACAACTGCAATTTGGTTTTTAAAAACTATCTTCCATGCCTCTACTTATCTTCTTGAGCTTTATTGTGGGGTACAGTTGAGTTACGTATAAACAGCTTGACTTTTTTCAATCTTGCTTTTATGATTTGGGCTAATTCCCCACCCCTGAGGCAATATCTTTCTGATTATTCACTGTCCTGAGAAGTATGAGTTTTTCCAGCCTGACCATGGGAATGAACACTTTTCCTGGTGCTGTGGGAACACCAGGCAGGATTTCCTCTCCTTTTTTTAGGTGGGGTTTCTTTGCTTTCAGGTAGTTTCCTAGCATACATTCACTGTTCATTACTCTGCTCAGTACCCAAGAGGGGATCTCCGCAGATCTCCAGGGTTCTTCCTCTGTACCTGTCGCTCCTCTCCAGTATCCTGTGATCTTTATCTACTTTGTGTTTATTAGACTCTCAGCTTCATCACTTCAACTCAGGGAGTCTGCTGGACTCTATGTAAGTTTTTCCTCCCTGCGTCATGGCCTGGAAACTCTGAAGGCCAGGCTCTGGGCTTTCCTAAGACTTACTTCCTTTGTTTGTTTGTTTCTTTTTTTTGAGACAGTCTTGCTCTGTCATCCAGGCTGGAGTGCAGTGGTACAATCTCGGCTCACTGCAACCTCTGCCTCCGGGGTTCAAGCGATTCTCCTGCCCCAACCTCCTAAGTAGCTAGCATTACAGGTGTCTGCCACCACACCTGTCTAATTTTTGTGTTTTTAGTAGAGACAGGGTTTCACTACGTTGGCCAGGCTGGTCTCAAACTCCTGACCTCAGGTGATCCACCTGCCTTGGCTTCCCAGAGTGCTGGGATTACAGGCATGAGCCATTGTGCCTGGCCACTTCCTTTGTTTCTTGTCTGTCAGGGATCATTGTGTTCATTGCCTGAGTCCACTGTCTCGAAACTCAGTGTTTCATGTATTTTGTCTGTTTTGTTTTTGGTCGTTTCAGAAAAGAAGGAAAGTCAGTTCTTGAAGCAGACTGCAGTAGAGTGTCAGCACATGCCCCAGACTGGCTGGAATGCTTTCCCCCCCTTTGCTTAACTGCTGCCTTCTCATGCTTCATTTCTCAGTGTAGCCACCTCTCCCTTAGGGAAATCTTTCCTGGGCCCAGTATAGGTCAAATTCTCTTTTGTGGTCATTAGAACTCTTGTTTTTGTACAGCATCTATCTGAATTTATAATTGTCACTTTTTTTGTCCTTGTTTCTTCACTGTACTTGAAGCTTAAACAAGAGCAGAGGTCTTGTCTGTTTTGTCTGTAGAGCTTAGTTTAATGTCTTCCACATTGTAGGCCCTCAGTATATATTTGGTCAGTGAATGTTATAGTATACAGTTTGTTATACTTGAAAAGTACTCATATATTTATTCCTATCTTGTTTTCTCTCTGTTACAGATTCTGTTACCCTATTGAAAATCCAGGATGCAGCTCTTTCATGTGAAAGATTATTAGAACTTAAAAAAAATCACTGTGAACTGCTTACAGTAAAAATTAAAAAAATGGAAGATAAGGTTAATGTACTACAGAAGGAGCTATCTGAAACAAAAGAAATAAAATCACAGTTAGAGCATCAGAAAGTTGAATGGGAACGAGAACTGTGCTCTTTAAGGTACAATAGCCTAGTTTTAAAGAAATGTTTATTTACTTTGTACTAAAGATATATAGGAGTATTCTTGTAATTGCTGACTTACCTTCTGGGGCTTAGCAGGGAGGAAGACTTCTTAGTCTTGTGAAGTGTGAAATTCTTGGAAATAATATAACTAGTTCTTAACTATGTACTTCTACTAAATATATATTCTTTTAAATCATTTTAATGGGTATGTAGAAGTCTACCGTATGGAAATCTCATTATTTATTTAATAGAATGAGTTTTGGGTTGGAAATTTTTTGTATTATAGTTAATGGTGGAAGGAATACTTTTTTATAAATCTTTTTCTATATTTCTAATTATTTACTTTGAATACATTCTTCAATATAGAATTATTTGTTTAAAATATAGGAATTTTTTTCAAAGAGGCCTTTGATCCAAATTTTTTAATTGTTCTCAAGAAAGTTTATGTTAATTCACATTTCAATCAATAGAGAATGAAATGGCCATTTTTTTTCAACCCAGAATACTAAGAAAATTTTTATAGCTTTACTCTTAAGATGCATGAATTAAAAAATAGAATGGTTAAGTGATTACGAAAGTGATCTCTCTCTCATACACAGATAAAACGAATTCAAAGTTCTATGTTGAAAACACATATTATTCTTTATGGGTTACCTAAATATTAGATCCTGTTTTGTTCTAAAAGAGATTTTAAAATTGTTTATGCAATATGTAATAAGAAGATAAGTTGAAAGTGTTACTAGAAAAAGAAACATAGAAAGAAAGTATGGGGTAACCAATATTAGGCTCCGTAGCCCAATCTTTAATTATACTAATCTGTAGATATATGTTGTAAGAAAGACATCTGAGGGTGTTTTCTTAACTATAATAATTTTTAGGGACACTTGCAATATTTCATAAAAACAAAAATTTATTTCTATTGAATATATAAATATTTAAATAAACAGTAACTTATTTTTAGTAAACTGTAAATTATCTTTCCTAATTGAGGGGTAATTATGACTGTTTTAAGAAAGGATAATTTGCTTTTTTTTTTGAGATAGAATCTCACTCTATTGCCCAGGCTGGCAGTGGCGCGATCTTGGCTCACTACAACCTCTGCCTCCTGGGCTCAAGTGATTCTCTTGCCTCAGCCCTGCCACCACATCAGCTAATGTTTTGTATTTTTAGCAGATATGTGGTTTCACCATATTGGCCAGGCTCGTCTGGAACTCCTGACCTCAAGTGGTCAGCCCATCTTCCACCTCCCAAAGTGCTGGGATTACAGACATGAACCACCAGCACCCAGCCAAAAAGATAATTTTCAACTTGTATCTTTACTGAATAATTTCCAATATCCTTTTCCATAATATTTACCAGAGGTACTCGTAACAGAAACTTACCAGTTGGCAGAATGTCTCTTCATCACTTCCTTTCAAGTATATATGTTCTGTGGAAAAGACCGAAGTGAGAAATTAAAAACCTGAGAACTAGAAAGGAAAAATATTCAATAACATAGAAATTTTATTAGGGTAATAAACCAACATATGAAGTGGCAGATCACACATGAACTTTTTGTTTTCTAACAAAACAAATTTTAAGATAAGCATATTTAACTGCAGATTTAGCTTAAACCAAGAAGAAGAGAAGAGAAGAAATGCTGATATGTTGTATGAAAAAATTAGGGAACAGTTAAGAGGGAAAGAAGAGCAATATAGGAAAGAAGTTGAAGTGAAACAACAACTTGAACTGACTCTCCAAACACTGGAGATGGAATTAAGGACTGTAAAAAGTAATTTGAATCAGGTAAATTAATTTTTGGTAAAAATTTTATATTCTTAACCTTATTTCATCAGTATTACTTGTAACATCCTTTTGATTTAAAATATATTATGTAGGTTTAAAACAAAATATTATCTCATCTTAAACTGAACTATTACATTTATAACTAAAATTATTCATGATAAATCTTGGCACATAATAGATGCTCAGCCTCTGTTTTCTGAATGAAGGAATGGAGGATACTTTGAGTATAATCACTAAAATAGATGTTAATTTAGGCATTTTATGTTAAAATACAGGCTAAATAGCTCTAAAATTATGGTGAAACTAGTAAAATGTTTTGTGAAGACATTTTATTTTGCAATTCTATATTTGTCTGCATTTAAGAACTGTTTTTGCTCTTTGATGAATTTAGCTGTCATTTATGCGATTAAATTTGAGTAATTCTTGAGTAATAAAGGTTCTTGTGTTTTACTATGCTATTTCCTTTTTATAATATTTTTTTAAAATTCTGCTCTTGATTAACCTTTTAGACTTTAAAACAATGCTCATAGGCCAAAAACTTAATGTATCTCTAGGTCGTACAAGAGCGAAATGACACTCAGAGGCAACTTTCTCGAGAACAGAATGCCAGAGTGTTACAAGATGGAATTCTGACCAATCACCTTTCCAAACAAAAGGAGATTGAAATGACTCAAAAGAAAATGAATTCTGAGGTATTTTTTGTAGTCATTTTCAAATATGTGTGTGTATGTATTTGTATGTGTATATATTTTAAAAACCAACTATCTGCAGTAGTCAAGTAATGGCATTCAGAATGGCCTCATCCAAAGGAGAAGCTTTTAATAGTATCTTCCATAGGAATGGATGGTCTTTCCACATTCTCAAAACCTTTGCTACTAACAATAGATGCTCAAGTTTTTGGAATTGATTTCATCACCTTGTTATACTAATGGAGAGGTTAGTTTATTACTTCTACCCATAGGAAGGGAGGAAAAGTACAGCTAGTTCAGTGACCATATTGTGGCTGTTATTCTTCTCACTTTTGAGAAGAGTAATAGTTTGCTGCAAGTAGTATCTTACTTCAGTAATAAGAGCTTTTGAAACAGTGATATACCATGATATATACTTAGTGATAAGTATTTTGTTCCTAGTAAAACAGTTGAGCCATTTCTACCTGTTTCACATTATTACGTTTTCAAACAATATGAAGGGGAAACAAAAGTTATTGCAACAACAAATAATCTCATGATTGTCTCAGAGGAGCTCTACAAATTTTGTCTTATTTACCATTAGTGTTCTGAAATAAAAGGCTTCTTTTGTATTTAAATATTTATACCACAGAAGTAATTGTGCTTTAGCGGAAGAACACTGCAAATAGAGTCAGAAGACCTGGGAAAGTCGTACAGTTTGCTTATATTTTCTTAACCTTTCCTTTTCAGAATTGTGATACTAAATGAGTTCATCGATATATGTAGAAGTGCTTAGTACAGTGCCTAGATTTATTATTCATCAATAAATGTAATTGTTATAACTGACTATAAAGATGTTAGAAAAATAGAATATCTCTAGAATGTTCTCAGAAAAAAGGAACGTAAAGAACTTTGGGAAATTTGGTCTGTCTAAATATATGCAGAGCCAAGTCTCTTACTATGGGGTGGTGTATGGGTTAGATATCAGAGCATAAACCCAATTTTTTAATGTAGTCAGATTATTAATCTTTTATGCTTTTGAATTTGTTGTAATTCAGGGAAAGGCCTTTCCAATTCTGAGATTCTTAAAAATTCTCTAGTGGTTTTTTTTTTTTTGCTTTCATTAATTAATTATCTTCAAATAAATTTTTGAACTTTTGGGAGTTTATGCTCTATAAGGTTTGAGTTTTGATCCAATTTTTTTTTTCAATTGGATATATACTTATTTTAACCCTTTATTATAAAATGTACAAGTGATTCTTTAATGTCAGAGGAAATCATGATATGTCATTTTCTTGGGTGCTAGCTAAAAGTTTCCTTTGTTTTACTAGAATTTTCATAGTCATGAAGAAGAAAAAGACTTATTGCATAAAAATAGTGTGTTGCAGGAAGAAATTGCTATGCTAAGACTAGAAATAGACACAATAAAAAATCAAAACCAGGAAAAAGAAAAGAAATGTTTTGAGGACATTGAAACTGCAAAAGAAAAGAATGAAGACCTTCAGAAGACTATAAAACAGAATGAGGAAACGTTAACACAAACAATATCCCAGTATAATGGACGACTTAATGTTCTGACAGCAGAGAATGCAATGCTAAATTCTAAACTGGAGAATGAAAAGCAAAGCAAGGACAGACTGGAAACAGAAGTTGAATCATACCGTGCTAGACTGGCTGCTGCTATACATGATCGTGATCAAAGTGAGACATCAAAAAGAGACCTAGAACTTGCTTTCCAGAGAGCAAGAGATGAGTGGTCTCGTTTACAGGACAGAATGAATTTTGATGTGTCCAACCTAAAAGATAACAATGAGATTCTTTCTCAACAACTTTCTAAAACTGAAAGTAAACTCAATAGCCTAGAAATTGAGCTGCATCACGCGAGAAATGCCCTCAGAGAAAAGACTTTGGGTTTAGAACGGGTACAAACAGACCTAAGCCAAACACAGTGTCAAATGAAGGAAATGGAACAGAAGTATCAAAATGAACAAGTTAAAGTGAATAAATACATTGGAAAACAGGAGTCTGTAGAGGAGAGATTGTCTCAACTACAAAGTGAAAATATGTTGCTTCGACAACAACTGGACGATGCCCACAACAAGGCTGACAGTAAAGAGAAGACAGTGATTAATATCCAAGAGCAGTTTCATGCTATTGTGCAAAAACTTCAAGCTGAGAGCGAAAAGCAAAGTCTTCTATTAGAAGAAAGAAATAAGGAGTTAATCAGTGAATGTAATCACCTAAAAGAAAGACAGTATCAATATGAAAATGAAAAGGCAGAAAGAGAAGTAAGTATCAAGACAGATAAATATTTTTCAAACCTCCTGAAAGAAAATTTAAAATAATATTTGGGGCCGGGTGCAGTGGCTCACGCCTGTAATTCCAGCACTTTGGGAGGTTGAGGTGGGTGGATCACGAGGTCAGAAGTTCAAGACCAGCCTGGCCAAGATGGTGAAACCCCCTTTCTATTAAAAATACAAAAATTAGCCGGGCATGGTGTCAGGCGCCTATAATCCCAACTACTCAGGAGGCTGAGGCAGGAGAATTGCTTGAACCCAGGCAGCAGAGGTTGCAGTAAGCCGAGATCACGCCACTGCACTTCAGCTTGGGCAATAGAGTGAGACTCCGTTTAAAAAAAAAAAATTTGATTATGGCTAAAGATTGGATGTAGTTAAATATTAAAAATAAATAGATGATAAATTTATCCGTTTAGAAACATCTCTTGTTTTCAGCAAATAAAAGAGCTGAGAGATGCTTTACTTTGAGTAAAGACATTATATTGTCTACGAAATTTTGAATTTTAAGTTATGAATTGTTAATAGAGACTAGTATGAATAGTAAACTAATGTGAATGTAGTCTTTTACTGCTGAAGTAGTAACTTTAATGTCTTTATATTGCTACATCTTAAGAACATTTCCATTTTTCTGCCACCATGAAGCAGATAAATGGAAATGCTCATACCTGAAATGAGTATTTTGAAATTAAGATTGAATTAAGTGTGTTATTTTGGCAGTTAATAGATTTCCTAAATAAACTGAAGTATATTGGTATATCTCTTAATACTTTTCTGTCAGTAGCTTTTTATATATTTCAGTTGATGTGATTTTATTTTTATTCTTGTCAATTTGACAAGTCTAAAAATATTTCAATCTCAAATTACATATTGTTATGATCTCTCAATTCTTTAAAGCATGTACTTTTTATTAAACCATAATTTAGGAAAAATGTGGTGAATTTTAGCAAACATATTTGATTTAATCTCCCCACTGGTATTTATGATTTACTTTGAATATATTAGGAGCAAATAACTTGCTGATAATTTTCATTTCAAGGCTCAGTGACTATCATTTGGGTGTAACTTTGTTCAGTACAGAGGTAAGTGTAGTGATTTGTGATTTACTAGTTTTGTATTGGATCATCATTTTCAGTGTGTAGGGGATCACCAGTGGAGTGAGTAGGGGAGAGTCATAGCAGCTGAGGTCAGGGAGGCAGGTGGAGGTCAGGTTACCTAGGGCCTCTAAGGCCATTGGAATTTACCTGCATTCTGAGATAGGAATCTGTTGGAAGAATTTCAGCAAGCAATTGAATATGTGAGGAGCTCTGAAGTTGATTTGAGTTTCTAATAAAAAAGAGAGAAAATGTTTCATAGCGTACAGTTAATCAGTACCAGTTCCATTCACTTAATTATTTCGAGGCTTCAGGAGGTTGTTAAGTATTGTAAATTCATCAGGGGATGAATGAATAGTGAGCTGAATCTGTTGTTTAAGTAACATCAGACCTATTTGGCAGGAAGATAACACTTTCTGTGTCCTTAACTGAATTCAGGAATAAACAGGAATGTGTAAATAAGAGGACAAGAAGGTGAATCAATGTATATGGTAATAGTTTTTAAGTTATATATATCACAGTTAAATATTATTAACATTATTTTTAATATAACTTAATAATAAGGCGATTTACAAAATCAGTAACAAAAATGTCTTATCAGGTTGTTGTGAGACAGCTTCAACAAGAACTGGCTGATACCCTAAAAAAACAGTCTATGTCAGAGGCTTCACTGGAGGTTACATCACGTTATCGTATTAATTTAGAAGATGAGACACAGGATTTAAAGAAGAAATTAGGTCAAATCAGAAATCAAGTATGTATGAAATTTAACAGTTAATATTTATATACATGGCTGAATATAAAGTGTTTTATCATACTCATTTCAATGGATAGCCTTCTTTTGAATTTTCATTATAATTAATTTAAATTTTATTATCGTTATAATACACTTGCTTCTTTTTTTTTTTTTTTTTTTTTTGAGACAGAGTCTCACTCTGTTGCCGAGGCTGGAGTGCAGTGGCACGATCTCAGCTCACTGCAACCTCTGCCTCCCGGATTCCAGCAATTCTCCTGCCTCAGCCTCCCAAGTAGCTGGGCATTACAGGCATGTGCCAGTATGCCCAGCTAATTTTTGTATTTTTAATAGAGCTGGGTTTTCACCATGTTGGCCAGGCTGATCTCAAATTCCTGACCTAGGTGTTCCGCCCTCTTGGGCCTCCCAAAGTGCTGGGATTACAGACATGAGCCACCACACCCATCTTGTTTATTAAACTATGACTTTCATTCTGCCATGTTTTCTTATAAGTGCACATTTAAAAAAATAATATTTAGCCTTAGGAAACTTGAGAATAACACATCATTCCTCACGGAAGTTGAGAGAGTTTTTGTTTACTATTAAACAGTATTTCATAGTGATTTTTCTATTGTCATGGTGAAGCAAGCCAGATTAAGTTAGAGGATAATGTTTAATGGAATGTACCAGAAAATTGTCTTATTTCTTATTTTCACTTTTGTGAATGGATGCAGAGTCTGTGTCGATTTATTTTATGGATTTCAAGTTAATTTGTACAGAAAGGCCATTAACTTTTCTCCAAAATGCAAATGTTTTAGGTTAATTTATAAACTATTTGAAATTGGCATTTCCTTTATTTTCCTTTCATTTAAAATGTATTACAAAAACATAGAAATGTTTAGATCATGTATTGTATGTACTTCTAAACTAGAGAATTAAGAAAATTACCTAGATCCCACCATTGGATTTTTAAAAAAAACAACATTATTGACATATAATTTACATACCATACAGTTCATTCAAGGTGTACAATTCAGTGTCTCTTAGATTATTTGCAGATTCGTGTAACCATCACCACAGTCAATTTTAGAACATCGTTATCACCCTGAAAAGAAACCCCACATCCCTTAGCCATTACCACCATCCCCATCTATGTCCCTCCACCTTGCCCAGTCCTAGACAACCACCGTCTACTTTTTGTCTCCTTAAATTTGCCTATTCTAGGCTGGATGCAGTGGCTCATGCCTGTAATCCCAGCACTTTGGGAGGTTGAGGCAGGCAGATCCTGAGGTCAGGAGTTTGAAACCAGCCTGATCAACATGGTGAAACCCCGTCTCTACTAAAAATGCAAAAATTAGCAGGGCATGGTGGTGCGTATCTGTGGTCCCAGCTACTCAGGAAGCTGAGGCAGAATCGCTTGAACCTGGGAAGCGGAGGTTGTAGTGAGCTGAGATCATGTCACTGCACTCCAGCCTGGGTAACAGAGCAAGACTCCGTCTCAAAAAAAAAAAAAATTTGCCTGTTCTGAACATTTTATATAAATAGAGTCATACAATATGCAGTCTTTTATTCGTGGCTTCTTTTACTTAGCATGTTTTTGGATTTCACCTGTGTTGTAGCACATATCAGTACTTTATTTCTTTTTATTGTTGAATAATATTCTATTGTATGGCTGTACCAGTTATCCATTCATCAGTGGATGGGCCTTTAGATTGTTTCTACTTCTTGGCTACTGTAAATAATGCTAGTGTGAACATTTATTTATAAGACATATGTTTTTATTATCCTGCCACTGGATTTTATCCTCAGGGTTAATTGGGCTGATTTCACCATCTCTCTGCTTTACTCCTGCTGTTCTTCTTGCCTTTGCAGTTTCTGTTCATCTAGCCTCATTTATTCGTTCTTCCTGCCTTTGCAGTTTCTGTTCATCTAGCCTCATTTATTCAGACCTGGCGCACTGGTGCACAATTCCCCCTCCTTTGGGAAGCTTTCTCTGACTGTTCTGGCTCTCATTGACCTTACACTTTAGCATTTTTTGTCCAGTCTGTGTAGAACAATTTGTCCTTAATTTAACTTCACTTTTATTTTTTTCATGAGAAAGAATCGTGTCTAATTATAAATTTGCCTACAAGGGGAATAATGTCTGATATGCATGTCACTTAATCTTTGTATAAATTGAAAATATTTTAGCAGCTGTTAGAAGAAAATTACTTTATATGATACTAAGAATTTCTTCTTTGAGGCATTGATATAATAAAGCTTTTATTCTATTTTCGTTATTTATTATTTTATTCTTTTTACAAGCCCACAGCTAACCTAGATGGTTATTCTAAATATATTTTAAGTAATTAAATACAAATAGAAACTACTTAATCTAATAAAGGAGTTATTCAATCAAATGCTCATGTTTTTCTCACTATATAAAAAAAATCTAAATTTACCTTTAATGTGTAGCCAGAGCTGGGATTCATAGATTGATAACACTTTATGTGGTATCAATCTTAAAATATATTTAGAATAACCATCTAGGTTAGCTCTGGGCTTGTAAAAAAAAATAACAAAATAGAATAAAAGCTTTATTATATCAATGTCTCAAAGAAGAAATATAGCTCACTATATGCTATGTATTCATCTAAGTACTTTATATGTGTATTCCTTGACTGAGTCTTCTTACCATTCCAGTGAAGTAGATACTATTACTGTCTCTATTTTACCAATGAAGAAACTGAGACATTGAATGTTAATTTGCTCAAGGTCACCCAAGGTAACTGGTGGAGCTGAGATTCCCACCCATCCATTCCAGCTTCTGTGTGGATACGGCCTCTCAATTTCATGAAACGTCTAGTTGTCATCTAACATGTCATATTAATTTTTATTATCACTGGCATAGCCATGGTCATTCACATCTATAAGTATTTACAATTATAGTTGATGTGGTGGTACTTGGAATTCAAAAATATAAATGCATACCATAAGGTAATTTCCTTTCTCCCTTTTACCAATTTTGTAAGTTTGAGTATTTATCTGATAAAATATAGTTTGAAAACAAGAATAATGTGTTTTAGTTCTAGAACGCAGGTTGTTAAACGTCTCTGTAAAGGGCCAGATGGTATTATTTTAGGCTTTGGGAGCCGTAAGATACCTGCTGCAACTAATCAGCTCTACAGTAACAGCACAAAAGTAGCTATAAACAATATGCACATTGAAGGGGTGTGACTGCATTCCAATAAGGTTTAGTTACAAAAACATGTGATAAGCAGATTTGTACTAGATTATTAGTAAATTTTTTTTATTCTTTGTTTTAGTTGCAGGAAGCACAGGATCAACATACAGAAGCTGTCAGATGTGTTGAGAAGATGCAAGATCACAAGCAAAAGTAACAATTTAAAGCAGCACACAGAATAACATGATTATTTATAGAGCAAATAAGCAGTGTAGTATGAGAATTGTATCAGCTATGATCATAAGTACATCTGTGTGAAGTTAAGGAAAAATTTCAGCATTAAGCTATGTTGAAATGCATAATTTTTTATATTATCCTAGAATTTTGTGCATTATCTGCAAACCACAACTAGAAAAACGATAGAGTTGCCAAATGACCTACTTTTCAAATCTTAAAGAATTTATGTAATTATACTTTCAGGTGTTTTTTAAGAAATTACACAGCATTTAAAAAATTTATCTGTGAGAATAATTATTTTAAAATATACATTGCAGGCTTGAAAAAGATAATGCCAAGTTAAAAGTTAAAATCAAAAAGCAAATGGACAAAATTGAAGAGCTTCAGAAAAACCTGTTAAATGCAAATTTGGTAAGTCAACCTCTTAATTTCTTTCATCCTGTAAAGGAATTTTATTGTTTAGTGGTAGAATAAGTTGAGTATTACTTATTTAAAATGCTTGAGACCACAAATGTTTCAGATTTTGGATTTTTTTGGATTTTGGAATATTTGTACATACATAATGAGATATCTGGGAGATAGGACCCAAGTCTGAAATTTATTTATGCTTCATCCATACCTTATATAAATAGCTTGAAGTTAATTTTATGTAATGTTTTAAAAGTACTTTTATGCATGAAAAAAAAAAAACAAAGTACGTTGGTCAACATCCCAAGGGTGAGTGTGCCCACCCAAGATGAGAAAATAACACTATACTCAAAGTAACACCAATCTAAGAGTCAACATAAAATGTACAAGACTAGCTATCTACAAAATGAATCCGTATCAAGTAATAGTTTATGGGTGTGTGGTTGAGAATATTGTTTATGAGAAGTGAACCAGAAGGAAGAGACCTCAGGAAAGAGGTCTGGGCTGGAAATCTAGATTAGGGAATCTGGGATGAAGCCTTGAGATTTAAGGAGCTCTTAGAGAATTTACAGAGAGGAATGGAAGGGGACAGGACTCAGCATGAGGAGTTGCTGCATTTAAAAATGAAGTGGGGTCAGAAGAGCCGAGGGGAGGGATGTTAACTGTTAGTAGTTGCTGCTGAGAAGTAAAGCAGATTAAGGACTAAAAAATAGGGCCTTGATGACTTTTGGAATTTTAAAATGAGAATTTTAAGATTGAAAATTAGATTTTAATATAAAAGAAGACAAGTGTTGAAAAAATAGATCTCTAGATGAGACTATGTATTAAAAAATATTAGAGTCTGGGTAGCACAGTGGCTGACACCTGTAATCCCAGTGCTTTAGGAGGCTGAAGCAGGAGGATCGCTTCAGACCAGGAGTTCAAGACCAGCCTGGGCAACATAGCAAGACTCTGTCTCTAAAAAAATATAAAATAGATGAGCTTGACCAACTATAGGCCGTTGTAAGTGTTCTGAGCATGTTTAAGGCAGTCTAGGCTAAGCTATCTGATTCAGTAGGTTAGGTGGATTAAATGCATTTTTTATATATGACATTTTCAGTTTATGATGGATTTATCAGGAAGAAACCCCATAGTAAGTTGAGGAGCATTTGTGTTTATTAAGCAGTAGGTGCTGAATAATTCATCATTGTTAACAATAAGAATAGCTCATTTTTCCTATCCTCCTTCCAGGTACCAGACACTGTTTATATAAAACATATGTATTAACACATTTAATCTTCATAACACACCTGTAAGGCACTTTATCTAACACACAGCCTATTTTATAATAAAGTGTTGGAAAGCTTGGTAATTTATTGAAGTGTGCTGAAAGTGAAAAACAATGATTGTATGAGTACTCCCAAGTACAGCTTCTACTGATTGTGTATCATTTCTGCACCACCTAAATTAAAATATTGGAGGTGAACTGTAAAAAAAAAAAAAAAACAACAACAACAAAAAAATAAAATAAATTAGCTGGTGTGGTGGTGCATGCCTGTTATCCTAGCTACTCAGGAGGCTGAGTGGGAGGATCGCTTGAGCCCTGGAGTTTGAGGCTACAGTGAGCTGTGATTGCACCATTGTACCCCAGCTTGGTTGACAGAGTTAGACCCTGCCACAAACAAACACAAACAAACAAGAGAGTCCAGTGGAAAAACAGGATGATTAAAAAAGCCACAAGAATCAGGAAAAAGTTATGTTTTTGTTTATTGTGGAGAAGTATTTAAAGAGAAATGGTTAATAAAAAACGAAAAATTGAAACCCATGGAAGAATGTTTATAGAGAATAACAAATAGCTCATCTTAAAGTCAGGTGAGTCAAAAATGTAACAGGAACCAGATTAAGGTTTTCTAAAAATTGTCTTAGTATTATTTGATTTAACAAAACCTGGAATAGCTTGAACTATTGATGACAATGTTTCTAGAGCAACTTTAGAAATAAGAATGTACATCTAAAATAACTTTTTTGAAAAAGAATTTTCATTAATTTTATTATTTTATGTGTAAACACTTATATTTTTAATAAATAAATTTTGGTAATTTAAATTCCAGAAAAGAAATGTAAGCTGTTTTAAGAAAAGACATTTTTGAAATCTGTTCTAGTTGGCATCAGGTTTATAAACTCCGTTTTAAAACTTGCCTAAACATATGTTACTTATGAGCTTATGAGAAATAATAGTTTTAAGAAGAAAGAGTGTTTCTAGAGTTTTAAAAATAATTGAAAATTTTTTGTTTCAAAGTCTGAGGATGAAAAGGAACAATTAAAGAAACTTACGGAATTAAAGCAGTCTCTGGAATGTAATTTGGATCAAGAAATGAAAAAAAATGTTGAATTAGAAAGAGAGATAACTAGGTAAGAATTTAATATTTCAGATCAATTTTAACCATTTGTTAATTGATTTAACTATAATTTTACTTATTTCAAACCTAGATACAAATTCATTTAATATCTGCTTTTTCTTTTTCTTCTTCTTGTTATTTATTTATTTATTTTTTGAGATGGAGTCTTGCTCTGTTGCCCAGGCTGAAGTGCAGTGGCACAATCTTGGCTCACTGCAACCTCCGCCTCCCTGGTTCAAGCAGTTCTCCTGCCTCAGCCTCCTGAGTAGCTAGGATTACAGGTGCTCGCCACCACGCCCAGCTAATTTTTGTATTTTTAGTAGAGATGGGGTTTCATCATGTTGGTCAGGCTGGTCTTGAACTCCTGACCTTGTGATCTGCCCTCCTCGGCCTCCCAGAGTGCTGGAATTACAGGCTTGAGCGCCTGTGCCCAGCTAACATCAGTTTTTTCTTAATGAAACAGGTTGTAGCACAATCTGAAACTTTTTGAATGCCTAAATATTACACTTATTCTTTAATGATTTTGAAAACAGTAACAATGCCTTTGGCATATAATGTCAACTTTACTCTTCATCTTTTACTTTCAATTTTTATTTCTGAATATATTTTTGCTCTCTTTGGTAATATTTCTCTCTTTGGTAGTGTCCTTCCTTTCAAAGAAGATATTCAAATCTTTTAATATCTAAAAACCTATCTGTGTCATTCTTTGGAAGCATCAAAAATTATCTTGATTTAGCTTATGCTTTCTTTCTCTTTTTTTATAATTATAAAATATATCATGGAAATTTACTCATTTCCCATGGCTATCTCCCTTGTATACCTGAGATATATGTGTTATTAAACTTCTGTTTGTTTTAAAACATATATGCCTCATAAATATACAAACATATGTATGATTTAAGAGTAAAATGAGCAATCGTGTTTCTACTATCCAGATTTAAAAATGGAATGTTACCCCTTGCCTTGGAAGCCCTCAACGTGGCTGCCTTTCTATTTATTTGCTAAGTACTTAACGTTTGTTCTGATTGTAATCACTATTTTTCTCTCATTGTCTTTCTCTAACATGGTTTGCATCCCTTTTACTTTAACATTCTGCTAGCAAAGATTTCTAGATCTCTTCTGAAAGCAGCCTTTGAGTATACGTGCTCTGTCTGCTTATTTCCTTTCTTCTGAAACTCTGCCTGTTTCCCGTTCCCCTTTACCTCAGACATCAAAGATGTTTTCTTTCCTGTCTCTTTTCTACTTTGAATGATCTTGATATTTTTTGTGCGTACTTTCTTTATTTTTGTACTTTTCTTCTTACAAACAGTGCTCAACGGATATCAAATGTATTTTTGTGTCTTTTTCAACCATTCGTGTATAAGTGTGTATATGCTTTTCCGCCTCCCCTCCCCTCCCCTCCTTGCCTTTCTCCTCTTTCCTTTTTCTTTCCTTTCTCTTTTGAGACGAAGTCTCTCTCTGTTGCTCAGGCTGCAGTGCAGTGGCGCAGTCCTCCACCTCCTGGGTTCAAGCAATTCTTCTGCCTCAGCCTCCCGGGTAGCTGGAATTACAGACATGTACCACCATGCCTGGCTGGTTTTCATATTTTCAGTAGAGACAGGGTTTCACCATGTTGGCCAGGCTGGTCTTGAACTCCTGAGCTCAAGTGATCCGCCTGGCTTGGCCTCCCAAAGTACTGGGATTACAGGCATGAACCACTGAGCCTGGCCTAAGCATGCTTTTCCTCTTCAACTTGGACATTGATCTCTGAGTTATAGCTAATATTTAATAACAGGTTAGTGTTTTATATTAACATACTAAAATGGATAGTAATAATTTATTTATAAAAACTCCATGTGATTACAATATTAACTCTTTATCTGCCATATATGTCATACAGTTTTTCTTCACGTTATTTACCTGAGATTGTAATTTCATTAGAGTATTTTCAAACTACGCCAGATTGAAATAAATGAGAGGATCATGATTTATACATTTGTTTCTCTTATGTGCTAAAACATAGTATCTGTTCAAATAATTATTAAATGTTTGCCTTTTAAAAACCTGACTTACTCATTTTGTACCTCCCTGCAGATTTAAGAACCTCTTAAAAATGACAAGAAAGAAGTTAAATGAATATGAAAATGGAGAGTTTAGTTTCCATGGAGATTTAAAAACTAGTCCATTTGAAATGGATATTCAGATTAATAAGCTAAAACATAAGGTAATTTTTAATAAGTTTTGGAACCAAAAAAAATGACTTAATTTTGGGAAATATAGACCTCTCAATGCTTTTAACAGCTAAATAAAGATTTTTTTTTTTTAAACTTTTTGAGGGACTTGATACTAATAAAAAGAGCTTTTTTTTTTTTTTTTTTAAACTTTTAAGTTCAGGGGTAGATGGGCACGTTTGTTCTATAGTTAAACTTGTGTCATGGGGGTTTGTTTTACAGATTATTTTGTCACCCGGGTATTAAGCATAGTGCCCATTAGTTATTTTTCCTGATTCTTCTCCCTTCTCTCACCCTCCATCCTCTAATAGGCCCCAGTGAGTGTAGTTCCCCTCCATGTGTCCATGTGTTCTCATCATTTAGCTCCCACTTAGTAGTGAGAACTTGAAGTATTTGGTTTTCTGTTCCTGTGTTAGGTTACTAAGGATAATGGCTCCTAGCTCTGGACATAGGAATAGGCAAAGATTTCATGGCCAAGACACCAAAAGCAATTGTAACAAAAGCAAAAATTGACAAGTGAAATCTAATTAAATCAAAGAGCTTCTACAGCGCAAAAGGAAGTATCAATAGAGTAAACAGACAACCTACAGAATGGGAGAAAATTTTTTGCAAACCATGCATCTGACAGAGGTCTAATATCTGGCATCTATAAGGAACTTAAACAAATTTACAAGCAAAAAACAACCCCACTAAAAAGTGGGCAAAATACATGAATAGACACTTCTCAAAAGAAGACATACATGCTGCCCAACAAACATGAAAAAAAGGTCATCATTATTGATCATTAGAGAAATGCAAATCAAAACCACAATGAGATGTCATCTCACACCAGCCAGAATGGCTATTATTAAAAAGTAAAAAAATAACAGATGTTGGTGAGGTTGCAGAGTAAAAGGAACACTTATACACTGTTGATTGGAGTATAAATTAGTTCAACCATTGTGGAAAAAACATTGTGGCAATTCCTAAGACCTAAAAACAGAGCTACCATTCAACCTAGTGATCCCATTTCTGGTTATATACCCAAAGGATAGAAATCATTCTATCATAAGGATACAAACACACATATGTTCATTGCAGCACTATTCACAATAGCAAATACATGGAATTGACCTAAACGTCTATCATTAGTAGACTGGGTAAAGAAAATGTGGTACATATGCACCGTAGAATACCATGCAGCCATAAAAAAGATAGCTTTGTAATATATCATTTTTATATAAAAGAGGCATGCTGCTGATTCTCTTATGTCTTGAACCCTGGCCAATTATCTAAAAACAAGCAATACACCATTACATGACCCCAAGTCACTAGTACTAGATCAATTTTTTTGGTAACAGCTTTATTGAGATATAATTAACATATGATGCAATTCACTCATTTAAAGTACACAATTCAGTGGCTTTTAGTATATTCAGAGTTATACAGTGATCACCACAGTCAATTTTAGGACATTGTCATCATGCTAAAAAGAAACCCTTTAGTTATTGCCTACCTGTTTCCCCTTCCCGGTTCAACCTCTTTATTTCTATAGATTTGCCTACTCTGGACAATCACAATGTGTGGTCTTTTGGGACTGACTTCTTTCCCTTAGCATAACAACGTCCATCTGTGTTGTAGCATGTATCAGTACTTCATTTCTTCTTATTGCTGAGTAATATTCCATTGTATGGATAAATCATTTTATTTACCCACTCATCAGTTAATGCACTTTTAGGTTGTTGCCACTTTTTGGCTGTTACTGGTAACACTGCTGTGAACTGTTATGTGCAAGTTTTTGCATATATTTTCATTTCTCTTGGGTTTATGCTTACTAGTGGAATTGGTAATTGGAATTAGACGTGGTCATATGGTAATTCTATGCTTAATATTTTAAAAAACTTGTATAAATGTAGGGGGCACAACTGTTCTTTTGTTACATGGCTGTATTGGGCAGTGGTGAATGAAGTCTGGGCTTGTAGTGTCACCATTACCCAAATAGTATACATTGTACCCATTAAGTAATTTCTCATTCTCCTCCCACCCTTCCAAGTCTCCAATGACTATTATTCCAAACTCTAAGTTCATATGTGCACATTATTTAGCACTCACTTATAAGTGAGAACATGTGGTATTTGGCTTTGTGTTTTTGAGTTGTTTTACTTAAGATAATGGCCTCCAGTTCCCCCCATGTTGCTACAAAAGACATGATTTTATTCTTTTTTATGGGCAATAGTTTTCCATTGTAGGTATATACCACATTATCTTTATCCAGTCATTCATTGATAGACATTTAGGTTGATTTCCTATCTTTGCTATTGTGAATAGTGCTGTCTATGTGTAACTTTTAAGGAGCTGCCAGTCTGTTTTCCAAAGTGGCCGCATCATTTTACATTTCCATCAGCATATGAAGGTTCTGATTTTTCCACATCCTTGTTAACAATTATTTTCTACCTTTTTGATTGGAAAAAGATACCATCCTACTGGTGTGAAGTGGTTTGATTTGCCTTTCTCTAATGCAAATTATCTTTTATGTGCTTATTAGCCATGTGTATATTCTTGTAGAAATGTCTGTTCAAATCCTTTGCCCATTTTTTAGCTTGGTATCTTTTCATTTTTGAATTGTAAGGCTTTTTTGTTTCCTAGATGTAAATCCTATGTCAAATGTGTGCTTTTCAAATATTTTCTCCCTCTTGGTGGCTTGCCTTTTCACCTTCTACATAGTGTCTTTTCAAACCATAGCAGTTTCAACGTTTTGATGAGTTCCATTTAATTTGTTTTTTCTTGTGATCTAAGAAACCACTGCTAAGTGTAGTCACAAGATTTATACCTGTGTTTTCTGCTGTGAGTTTTATAGTTTTAGCTCTTACCTCTAGCTGTTTTATTTTGAGCTAAATATTTGAGCTAAATTTATAGTTTTTATGTATGGTATTTGGTGGGAGTGCAACTTTATTCTTTACTTACGGGTATTCAGTTGTCCCGGCACCATTTGTTGGAAAGGTAGTTCTTTTGCCATTTAATTGTTTTGTTACCCTTTTGAAAATTAGTCAACCCTGAATGTGTGGGTTTATTTTTGGATTCTCAATTCTAATTTTAATTTTTTTTCACTTTGTCGCCCAGGCTGGAGTGCAGTGTCGCGATCTTGGCTCACTGCAACCTCCACTTCCCAGGTTCAAGCAATTCTCCTGCCTCAGCCTCCTGAATAGCTGGGACTACAGGCACGCGCCACCACACTTGGCTAATTTTTATATTTTTTTAAGCAGAGACAGGGTTTCACCATATTGGACAGGCTGATCTCGAACGCCTGACCTTGTGATCTGCCTGCCTTGGCCTCCCAAAGTGCTGGGATTACAGGCCTGAGCCACTGCTCCCGGCTTGGATTCTCAATTCTAATATGTTGATCTATGTTATTCTTATGCCACTACGAAACCAAGTTTAATGAGAACTCTTTTTCAGTCTTCTTGCATATTATGTATATTATTTATGTAATAATACTCAGTGTACTGCAGTGTCTTAACTTCACTTTTTGCTGGGGTCCATCCTGCAGACCCCAGCTGCACAATGGATGAATATTGTACCCAGACACAGATATTCAGTGAAAGAACGGACTAGGGAGCCAGACCGCTGACCAAAAGAGTTGTAGCAGCCATGGTGGCCCTGACTAGCTGGCCTCACCGGCCATTTATTCAGCACACATTAAATGACAAGGCTTTGAGTCAACACCACTAGAGGGTAATTAACCTGGTCCCCCTCCCCCAGAGAGAGCCATCCTGCCTGCAAGTGATCGAAGTTTAGTTTTAGGACCAAATGAGTAAACATGTCATTTAGATAAACTCTCCCACATTCCCTTATTATGTGTTTTTCTGCTGTTAATTCAAGGTAAAGAGGATTAGGCTTCCTTCAGCCAAACCTTTTACTGAGGCTGTGCAACCCCCCTGGCCTTTCAAGGTTTGTGACTACTTCCTATAATTTTACAATTTCTCTCACCATCTTGACTGAATCCCTACAGCTTTTTGCTTCTTGAAGGAGCCTGTGGCTCATGCCTTGCAGACCCTATTACATGATGGAAAGTGAGGCTTACAAAGCTAGAGTTCATTCCTTTTCTTCTTTCAAACCTTTAGTCTCACCCACTGCCTCTCTCTCCAGTCCCATTTGCATCAAATCCTGATCACAGAATCTGCTGACATAGTCTATTATTTACTACATTATGTTTTATTAACTCATTATAATTCATAGAATCATCTATGAATTCTACGAATTCATCATCTTAAATGTTTACTGTCTAGGAAGGAGAGATAAAGTTGGCGTTGTCAGCTTTCCCCATTGGAAATTGAGCTAATCGATCATCTTTCAGTTTACAGTTAAATCCTCTTATGATCTGGTACCTGGGATTTTCAAGGTATAACATTGAGTCTGATCTTTTCTTGGCACAGATCCTACATTCTTGGAAACTGCAGTTTCTGGTGTTTCCCTTTGTTTGCTTAAACAGAAATGCACAGCTGTACTGTACAGCTTGGTACATGGTTCATGGAATCAATAGTTCAACCCATTCAAAGAAGAGTTTTCATAAGTGCAGCACTTAAAAATCATGTAGTGTTTAGGTAATTTTTTTTTTTTGAGACAGTCTCCCTCTGTCGCCAGGCTGGAGTGCAGTGGCATGATCTCGGCTCACTGCAACCTCTGTCTCCCAGGGTCAAGCAGTTCTCCTGCCTCAGCCTCCCAGTAGGTGGGATTCCAGGCACCTGCCACCACACCTGGCTAATTTTTTGTATTTTTGCTAGAGACAGGGTTTCACCGTGTTAGCCAGGATGGTCTGGAATTCCTGACCTCGTGATCAGCCGCCTCGGCCTCCCAAAGTGCTGGGATTACAGGCGTGAGCCACTACACCTGGCTATGTTTAGGTAATTAATGAGAGATAAGTAATAGCCACATTAGTCATTTGAGTTTCAAAATTTCAGAACCAGTTTGTAACATATGGAGAAGCATTGTGGTCCAACATAAAGATGAGATGGTC